ATCTAAGGATATACACTTTTTTTATATAGGAAACATGCGTTTACAAAGAATGAAAAAAAGTACTGATAGCTATGTGTCTTTTACAAGCAACGAGAACAATTGCAATTTAGTGGAAAAAAAAGTTCAAGCTGATGCTTAGGGTAAAATAAAAATGCTGATAGCATTTCCCCTAGAAAGAGTTACATGTTTTTAGAAAAGGAAAGTTAGCTATATTTGAAACAAATGTGGGATCATACAAATACATTGTAGAAAATCTAAATGTAACAAATGACGCAGAGGACTATTTATAAATGACTGTGATCCTATATCTCCATGATATGTTATTCAATATAGTGTTCATATCTGTGTCACTGTGGTAAAGTGTCACTTCATATCTGTGGAGGTGTTATTTTATTGTATCAGTTATTTTTTTATATATTTTTTGTATGTGGGTGCTTGTTGTACCTTTTGTCTTATATTTTCATTTTTGTATAATACAAATTCTGTTTATCAAGTTGTTGTCTAACACCAGATGCTGTCTTACTATTCTGATTATATTATATTCATACAGTAAAACGGTAAACACATTGTTTTAGAAATCTGGATAACCAGAAGAAACAGTTTTACAGTGATACACTAAAATGAGAACGAGCTACTTGGAGAATTTTTAATAATGTCATGAGGAACAACAAAAATCACACATGAGTACACAAATTATTTTGTCAAAGGCAGAAATATCAAATAAAAATGAATATAGAAAAGAAAATTTCCAAAGCCTACATCTTACAGTGAAATACAAAGGTAGATCCTGTGAACAGTATTTTTCTTTCCAATATGTAAAAAAGACAAAGTATGAAAAATTGTGAATACATTTGTAAACAACCGACTCTGGCTCAGACATGATGCATCTGTAATTGAACCTTTTTACATACCTTTGTAACTTGTCACTAAAAACAGGAACCTTTTCTTGAAAAAAAATGAAAACAACCAAATTATACCTCTTTACAGAAACAAACACAACTTCTCAAATTCTAGACCCGTGTCTTTGTTACCACAGTTTTCAAAAATCTTGAAAAAAGTATTTGCAATGTGAGTGGATAGCTTTTTACAAAAGTAAATGTGTTAATTTAAAATGAGTATGGCTTTAGGAAAAAACACTCAACTGCTGTGGGAATAATGGAACTGACAGAGAAAATATGCAGATACATATGTTGTACGTATCTTACTAGACCTGCAAAAGGCTTGCTCATACATGGATCTCTAGTTATCTAGAAAATCTTAAACAGTTTGTGCAGATAAATTGTAAAAAATAATAAATTACTCAATACCTATATTGTTTGTATGTATGACTTTCCAAAAGTATCAACTATTGTGCTGTCCTCACGATACGTGACCATGTGAAGCTGGAGCAAACGGGAAAGAAACTCTGTAGACAAGGCTTACTTTTCTTGTTTCATAGATAATCTCTTGCGTATGGTTCATTGCATCCCTAAATACAAAATATAAAATCACCGTAACTGCAACACTAGAAAAACTATCAACGGTTGTGCACACGGAATTGCGTACAGCGTTTGCTACTCAGATATAGCCCAAACTTAACACTTTGCAGTAGAATAGATAAAACACTTTTATGGTGCCTAACAATGTGCTTGTGAGATTAAATAATACTTACAAAGATGAAAGTTTGCCACGGGTCAACACATGAAACAAAGATTGTTACAAAGACAAACCAAACAAGAGCGCTTACTCTGCTCGACCAGGAAACTGATGTCTTACTTTGTTTCCCCTTATATTTTAGCACAACAAACAACTATAGCTTATTATCACACTGGGCTGAAGAAGGCGCTGCGGGGCCCAAACACGCTGGTCCCTTCTCTGTTAAAGGACTTTTATCAGAGTGTCTCGGATTTCACCCTGTCTTCATTTCCCATGGAAAAAGGGAATCTTTGTTTTTAAATGTAACTTATTACATAGCATTTAAGAACGTGTTGCATTTTTTAAACTTATAAATGATTGAATTATGTCTTTAAACTTGTAAACATGACACCTATATTACAAATAATCTTATTTGCTGGTGCCACAGCATTATTTTGTTGTGGAAAAAATGTTGGAGAGTTATCAAAAAGTAATAAACAAAGAACTTGTCATAATAAAAATGTGGTTGGTTCAAATGACTTTGTTCTAAACAAAGAAAAAAAAAAACAAATACATACTATTCAATGCTAAAAAGAAAAAAATCTTAAATAGTGTATCGATAAGACTAGACGGGGGAAATTCAAAAGGGTAAAAAGAAACAACATTTTTGGGAGTCATCATCGTTGAGGATCTGAGTTGTAAATCTCACAGACACTGTACATAAGGAAAATTAGCCAAATCACTTGGTGTTTTACACTTTCCAAACCACTCAGCATTACTGACCTTAGATAATACAATGATTATACCGACCTCACCTATGTTGTCAACATTTGGAGACAACGTTTAAAACACATACACTGCCTATAGTTATTTTACATAAAAAAGACCAGAAGGAAAATATATCGAGATTCATCAAATCCTGTTTTTGAGTGCTTGGTGTTAAAATTGTATGTTATAGTGGATTATACTATTTATCATACATTGTATAAGGTAAATTGGAACACATTAGCAGAAAACATCTACGAAAACACCGCTCAGCATTACTGACCTTAGATACTACAATGATTATACCGACCTCACCTATGTTGTCAACATTTGGAGACAACGTTTAACACAGCCTATAGTTAAAAAAGACCAGAAGGAAAATATATCGAGATTCATTAAATCCTGTTTTTGAGTGCTTGGTGTTAAAATTGTATGTTATAGTGGATTATACTATTTATCCTACATTGTATACGGTAAATTGCAAAACATTAGCAGAAAACATCTACAAGAACTTTGGAAAAAAAAGACAAAGTCGATACAATCTGTAACTGATATCTTTAATAAAAACTAGATTCAGAACTAAAGTCATGGGAAGAATGGTCTCTGGAAGGAATCAACTTAACAAAGACATTAAAGAGTCAAAATAAAAATCATGGTTTTTAAGAAACAACAAAACTACTATACTCAATAAATATGAGAGTGTTACATAATAAGAAAATCTGGATTTTAATTAATGGTTTGTGTTTTGGTAAAATGTTGTACATAATGTTTAATTACTGGTTTGTGTTTTGGTAAAATGTTGTACATAATGTTTAATTAATGGTTTGTGTTTTGGTAAAATGTTGTACATAATGTTTAAGGTATGTAATATGGGTGTTTAATCAGTCTTTAAGATGACTATTTATGGTAACAGGTATCAATTGTATATCTGAGAGATGTACGCCTTTAAATCATTTGATCTCCAGTAAAAAGAAAACCTGTACCAAGGACCCTAGTTTCACATCTACCTACTCTGTTTCAAACTGTGTACATATATGTATCTAGGGTTCTTATTTTATTGTATTGGACAATTAAATTGCTATAGAGACTACTACCTTATGAATAGGGTTAGGATTATAACGCATTAATTACGATTGATAAACGCGACTAAAAATATATGTGTTTTTGCTCCACGGAACCTTTGTCATCAGGTGAGTTTCACACGGATCGTTCATACTGTTGTACCAGTTGGAAAATAACAACTATCCCCCTATTGTTTTAGTGCAACACTCTGGGCCACATGATAAGGTTATCACACATACACACACACACACACACACACACCTAAGTGTCGCTCTTTCAGAGTTCGGATGCAGTACCTCTTGTTACAGAAAAAATAAAAAAACACCTATACAATACAATACAATTTAGTTCTTGTATAGCCCTAAATCACAACTGTAGTCATCTCAGAGGACTTACCAAAAACTACTGAAAATCACCAACACAGATCGGAGAATCAGCAGTTAAAACACATAAAGACTATAGACCAGTACATGTTGTAGAATATTAAAAGTGTCCTGGCTCATCACCACAGTCCTTCTAGTTTCTCAATAACTGTGTAACAAACCCATCCTGGATCAGCAAGGAAAAACTCATATGAAAAAAAAAAAGTTTGAGAAAGGGATCTGCTTCACTCTAGTGATTCTTTATAGTCCTCCCACCGCCTTCATCATGATTCGCCTACACTGTTTGTTCTACGTTGATAGGCCGGGGCAGGTCCATCCTACCACCCATTCTGATTTGTTGTTAGTACTCCCTCCAAACCGTCATCATGATAAGGCTATCACACACATACACCTAAGTGTCGTTAACAGGGAGGACCTGTAGATTAATTAGTTTATTGACCTGTCTTTACTAACTGTTTGTTTTAGAATAAACATGTGCTATGATAAACCGTGATCATAAATCACTTTAGACAACTGTGAAGCATTTACTTTATCACACACACACAGGGTCAACAGAAGCTCACTCATTACACATTCAAAAACTCTTTGAAAAGAAAGTGCAGTAACACTTTTTCACCACTTGCTCAAGAGCGCCGTCTCTTTTCTGGGGATTTTAGGGTGCAGTACCACCTTTTCACCACTTGCTCAATACCGCCGTCTATACTATCTACTTCCATTCACTCGCTCATTGTTTTTAGTGGGGAAAGAGCAGCACCAGAAAGAAACCTATGCAGACACGGGGAGAACATGCAAACCCCGCATAGAAAGGCCAGGAGGTTGAGTCAAACCCAGGACCTTCTTGCTGTAAAACACAAGCTCTAACCGCTGCGCCATTGTTATTCTTTTGCAAACTTGTAAGAAAGAACCCTGTGAGTTGCTATTTGACGCTTTGTGCTGATTGGCTGAGTGAGGGTGGTCCTCTCTATTTCACTTTAGTGCTGCTCCCAAAGATGTGACAGAGGCCAAAAATATATAAATGCAAAAACTAGTGATGGAGCAAAACTGTGTTGAGAGCCAGGAATGAGTTAGATAGATTTCATGACATTGTTGAATTTGTTGAAGTTTGAAAGTTAAGAATCCCAGCTTTAATATTCACTTAATTTTACAACAAGAAACTGAGATATTCCTAGCACTAACCTCCATTCTTGTGGCCTCTCCTCCTTTGACAATCGGGACAGTTTTGCCTGAGTGTATTCGGTACGGCCCGATAGAGTGCCCATTGAGATTCCTGATTGGCTTCACTGAAAAAGACAAAAAACAACAAAACATTCTCAGGGTTAAAAATGGAGAGTCAATAAATAGCATGGAACCTGTGATGAGGACAGAGATGGATGCCCCGTTTTACCTTGATATGTTTTTCCATCTATCTCCACTTCATAGGACTCCATGACCTCCTGAATGGTCTCGCCCACATCGCACAGGCGCACGTCAATCCCAGCGCACTGTAAAAAATATGTCATTTCAACACACTCTGAATGACAACAGACAAACTTACAGATCTATCTAAATTTTTAGTTTTGCTCAGCTGGTGCAGTGGACAGGCTCAGCCAAGTCAAAACTTACTGAACAAAAGTACCAAAAGGATACAATAAAGTACATTCAACAATTACGATGTTATTAGTACGAGGTGTGGATAGGACACTGCAGGTCAGATTTTCCCCTTGTGTTATTTATTGTGAATTACTTTTGCCATATTTTCTAATCTAAATATCTATTTTTTAATTTAGACTTTTATTTATATATTTGTTGATGTTTTGACCTTAATAACAATTCATCTTTAATAAATAGAATATAAATGAATCAATAGTATATGATACGATTTATAAATTATAATCAAAAATGAAGAGTAATAATAGATAATAAAAACTTTAGATGAGGGGCCAACATTTTTATAACTGAATCACATTATTTAGAAATATATTGTAATTAATTAAAAGTTTCAAATACGTTTTGTGCCATGTGTACCCAGCTCTAGAATACCACAACTGTAATGGTGAGGAAAAGAGCTGTATCAGTATGTTTGCTGACATGTGGCGAGAACAACTACTTTAGATGTACTTTTTAATCACATGCCAGATTGATTTACGGAACATTGTGCACTTTGTTCTGTTGCTTTTGCATATTTGCTGCAGTCATTTTCTCTTTTAATCAACAAAGCTAATCTCATTTACATAACTACCTGTACCTCATCACCGCTGTGTTTCTCATTGAGCTGTAATTGCTCCCTGGAGAACTCTATAATGCATCGGTTTTATATAGCGCTTTTTTGGACACTCAAAGACGCTTCACATGTGTCATTATTCATTCACTCCATACACGGTGGTGATAAACTACTGCTGTAGCCACAGCTGCCCTGGGGCACACTGACAAAAGCGAGGCAACCAGTATGCGCCATCGGCCCCTCCGACCACCACCAATCATTCACACACACACCAGACTCATTCTAGGCAATGGGGGTGAAGTGTCTTGCCTAAGGACACAACAGCAGTTTGGCACTTTACAGCCGCAGCCGCCCCACTGTGGCTGGTGTTCCCAGAGGTTAAGTGTCTTGCCAAGGACACAACGACAGTAGTCGGTGGGAGTCGATGGTGAAGGTCTTGAGCGGGGCTTGAACCCACGACCTTCTGGCTCAAAGGCCAACGCTCTACCAACTGAGCTACTGCCGCCCTTGAAGGATCATTCCCCGGAAACCACACAGAAGGAAACATGTTCTGAAGCAGCACTAATCAGGCGTTTGTAGGAAGATGGCCGTGTTACCTTGATGCCCGTGTTCGTGGCGTCCCTCACCGCCTCCAGCAGCCGGTCGTACTTTGGGTTGAATGTGACGGTGAAGGCACAGTCGATTATTCGCCCTGGAGCAACCACAGCATTTAGTCACACACGCGATCTGTTTGCTCGGTTATTATGTGAATAAAAGTTTTGCTCGAATCAAGCTACGGTTTGTGAAGAAAACTTCATACAATGTAAAATGTAACTTTTACTTCTTATACAGAGATTAGGTTTCCCATGAAAAAATCTTTTTCTTTTATTTTTTTCTGTTATTGATTTTAGTCCTCTATCTCTGTTAAAGGCTCTTTGCTAGCTAGCGTCAGGGTTGGCCGGTCTCTCTTCACAGCGTATAGCTTTCCTTGAAAGGATTTTCTGGACAATGCTGTTGTAACTATCTGCAACCAAATCAATATCTTTGTCTCCTTCAGCCATTGTGGGTTGAAGAAACTAAGACAACACAAACTAGCTATTTCATTTTTTTCTCCACGGGGAATTTCTCATTCACTTCAATCTACCATGGGTCAGTACTGTTGATTCTGAAGGCCTAAAGGCAGATTTTGGACCCTGACAATGCATGATGGCTGAATAATGACTGAATCAAAACTATTGGATAAAAACATAAACTCCAGCCCTCCAAATGTCGACTTGGGGCTGGAAGCAACACAACCAAGATATGGGGAATAATTTAATAAATATTTGTGCAAAAATATATATAAATCTCTTAATCTTAATCTTAAAGAAATACATTCCTGATTATGTTTAGGCCCGCGGAGAAGGCCTTGCTGGCCTTGAGGGTCCACCACTGATACAACCCTTGGTATATAAGTCTTACCGTTTATGTGCGTCCCAAAGTCGATCTTGCAGACGTCATCGTAGCGCAGCACAGTGGGGTCCCCTGCGTTGGGCGTGTAGTGAGCAGCACAGTGGTTTATGGAGCAGCCGGTGGGAAAGGCCAGACCGGCCCTCAGCCCGTCCTCTTTGATGAGCTTTCTGGAGCAGTCCTCCAGCTTCTCACTGTCCACACAGACCATCATGAAGATAACTGAGACTGTATGTGATAACTGTGTTAGTCTTAGTATCCAAATAATGATGTAGATAATTGTGCACCAATTTCATGTGTTTTGTTTATGGCAAAATGCAGAAATGTTTAGAGCATCTGTAAATCATAAAATATAAGTACAAAATATATCCAAAGATGAAAAAAGACAAGCTGATGATGATGGAGTTGAAGGAATGATTAAGATGACAGAGAAGAGAGTCGACCCAAGGAGAAAAAGAAAAATGTCTTGAACAGTAAAAAGAAGCAGTAAATCATACTGAGGAACATTCCAATTAAGATTAAAATCTTGAGCCCAAGCTGGTAGCAACACCATCAGAAAGGTTTCACAATGCACCTTTTTGCCAATTAGAAAACAATATCACGCTGTATTTACAATGATATTTTATTATAAGTGACTTTGCAGTTTTTTGATCCTCTATGTTTTATTTTTTTCACAAAGACAGAAGAGCCAAAAGTGTTTTGGCCGAGTTCACCGAAAGCATCACATGACATCTACCTATAAATGCTCCTACATAGAACCATTATTGCATGCCAGTCCAGTCCTCACCAGATGTCAATCATGGTCATGCCGGGTTTGATCCAGCTCCTCACATAGCCCCGGACCTGTCGGTGTGCCTCGGCCGCCTGCCTGAAATCGCTCCACATCTCCTCGTTGGCCCGGTCCAGAGTACGTTTCTCCTCGCTGGTGGTCCGCCATGCTGCACTGCGCCTGGGGGGAGGTGGCCACAACCCCACGGCAAACAGCCACTCATTATTTCCTCATTAAACAGACATTATCAACAAGGTTAGAACATGTAGCTGCGAGGAGGAAAACTGAACATTTACTTTAATGATGGAAATTGCATGAAGAGATTTGGCAACCTTTTCTCTAATGTCGTATTTGTTCAGGATCACCTCACGAACGATTAGGCTTTTGATCCCTGCTATAGGTCAGTCAATGTGTCCACAGGCAGACTACACACCCCCTACACACACACCTTGACTCTTATCTATTCAAAACCTAATTTTCTAACCACAAATCTATATAATAAATTGCATCTAACTAGTTCCTCGCTCTCAAAATCATCTTCCATCACCATTTTTCACTTGCACGCATTTTGCCCTCTTTCACATACCATTTTTCAAACAGAAAATTGAAAAATACTATAACTCTATAACAAATAAAAACTGTCTAGATCTGAAATTTCCCCACTGTGGGACTAATACAGGTATTCATTCATCAGATCTCAGCAAAAAACAGCAAATAATGACTGGAAAAAGCTCCTTTTTTTATTAATAGAAATTTCTGTTGGGACAAGCAATATATTGTGCATGTGTTGTATGGAGACAAAAAACTTATGTTTGGGTTTACTTTCTTTGTAGATTTGTATTGCAGTAGACAGACATTACATTGTATTGCACTCAAAGTTTATATAGAGGGCCCATAAAATTACGTTAAAAATCGACCGCCCCCAAAGACAGCTTTCATGCATTCTCCAAAAGTTCCCCATGTTGTTTCTTAATTAGCAATAACAATGTATTTTTGCAGTGATGAATCTAAATCTGTCAATGAACATGCATAGTACAATAGGTCCCATTGAGGGAGTGATATAAAAAGCTGCTGCTAAAAGCCTAAAATAACAAATGATGATGTAATGCTGAGTCTGGGTAGCGTAGCGGTCACGTACCCGTCTTTTGATGGGGGGTACTCGCACTCCTCTCCTGTTGGAAAGTCTCCGCTGGGATAGAGCTCACAAATAGGGACTGAGGGAGGGTCAGTCTGTCCCCTCACTGTGGCCCAGATAGAGAGGAAGAGAAGCGCATGAAATCAACACAAAAATCAGTGAGCAAAAACACAACCATAAAACCCATCCACTCTCCATTTATGAAATTAATCATTTTCACTTAGCCAGACTGTATATAAAAGCACTCTAACCCCCAGCTCCTTTTAATCAAATACATTGCTGGGGTTAGAGCCAGACTGGGGTTTCTATACAAACTTCATCTGCAAATGAGAAGATTGTGGGCTTTTCATATGAATCCTTATGACACTGGTATTGTAAGTATTGAGTATTGGTACTTTTGCATTGCGACAGGGGTGTCTCTGGCGTTTTGTGCAGATCCGACATTACTACTATATAGAAGGAGACCAATGAAACATTTCCTTGATTTAAAACCATGACGACTGAAAAACGTGTACGATTAAGATGAAAATACGTTACACGTTCCACAGTGGGGAAGTTACAGAACAGTAGGAATGAGTAGCACACAGCATTAACTCTATACTACAGTAAATAAAAAAAATAAAAATCTCTAACTCTAGCATCAAAAGAAACAAGTATACAATTTCTATCATTAGCATAATAAGACGTATAAAATCTACACCTTTGGCGTTTATACAGTGCCTTGCGAAGGTATTCGGCCCCCTTGAACCTTTCAACATTTTGCCATATTTCAGTCTTCAAACATAAAGATATAATTTTTTTTTTTTTGTCATGAATCAACAACAAGTGGGACACAATCGTGAAGTGGAACGAAATGTATTGGATGATTTAAACTTTTTTAACAAATAAAAAACTGAAAAGTGGGGCGTGCAATATTATTCGGCCCCTTTACTTTCAGTGCAGCAAACTCAGTCCAGAAGTTCAGTGAGGATCTTTGAATGATCCAATGTTGTCCTAAATGACTGATGATGATAAATAGAATGCACCGGTGTGTAATCAAGTCTCCGTATAAATGCACCTGCTCTTTGATAGTCTCAGGGTTCTGTTTAAAGCGCAGAGAGAACCATGAAGACAAAGGAACACACCAGGCAGGTCCGAGATACTGTTGTGGAGAAGTTTAAAGCCGGATTTGGATACAAAAAGATTTCCCAAGCTTTAAACATCTCAAGGAGCACTGTGCAAGCAATTATATTGAAATGGAAGGAGTATCAGACCACTGCAAATCTACCAAGACCCGGCCGTCCCTCCAAACTTTCATCTCAAACAAGGAGAAGACTGATCAGAGATGCAGCCAAGAGGCCCATGATCGCTCTGGATGAACTGCAGATAACTACAGCTGAGGTGGGAGAGTCTGTCCATAGGACAACAATCAGTCGTGCACTGCACAAATCTGGCCTTTATGGAAGAGTGGCCATTTCTCAAAGATATCCATAAAAAGTATCTTAAAGTTTGCCACAAGCCACCTGGGAGACACACCAAACATGCGGAAGAAGGTGCTCTGGTCAGATGAAACCAAAATCAAACTTTTTGGCCACAATGCAAAACGATATGTTTGGCGTAAAAGCAACACAGCTCATCACCCTGAACACACCATCCCCACCTCAGCTGTAGTTATCTGCAGTTCATCCAGAGCGATCATGGGCCTCTTGTCTGCATCTCTGATCAGTCTTCTCCTTGTTTGAGATGAAAGTTTGGAGGGACGGCCGGGTCTTGGTAGATTTGCAGTGGTCTGATACTCCTTCCATTTCAATATAATTGCTTGCACAGTGTTCCTTGAGATGTTTAAAGCTTGGGAAATCTTTTTGTATCCAAATCCGGCATTAAACTTCTCCACAACAGTATCTCGGATCTGCCTGGTGTGTTCCTTTGTCTTCATGGTTCTCTCTGCGCTTTAAACAGAACCCTGAGACTATCAAAGAGCAGGTGCATTTATACGGAGACTTGATTACACACAGGTGCATTCTATTTATCATCATCAGTCATTTAGGACAACATTGGATCATTCAAAGATCCTCACAGAACTTCTGGACTGAGTTTACGGCACTGAAAGAAAAGGGGCCGAATAATATTGCACGCCCTACTTTTCAGTTTTTCATTTGTTAAAAAAGTTTAAATTATCCAACAAATTTCATTCCACTTCACGATTGTGTCCCACTTGTTGTTGATTCATGACAAAAAATTCAAATTTTATATCTTTATGTTTGAAGACTGAAATATGGCGAAATGTTGAAAGGTTCAAGGGGGCCGAATACTTTCGCAAGGCACTGTATATTCAAACTTCCCGTTGTAAAAGTTTTTGAGATGATATCATGTGCTATATGTAAACAAAATTATATATGGCGTATTTTTCATATTGTCCCAAATGTAAGCAATTTCATCATCAAAAAAGCTCATTTGTGATTTGAACCAGATGTTTCAGTATCAAAAAAGATTCTCTATTGACCTTGACTTGTTTAGAATATTTCCAATTCTATTTTTTTTTTCTATTAGAATTATTATTTGTTGTGTTATTTGTGGTGACATCTGATTAAAGACTAGTTTTATCATCACGTACACTACAATACACTGTTATCTTTTGTCACATGTTCCAGCGCCTGTTTGGTCAAAGTTGTAAGTCGTGTGAGATGTTTGAGGAGCCCTGGGAAATCACTTGTGTTGTAATTGTAATTTAATACCGTTTCCTTGAGTGGCAGATCTGATGCTAGGGTGGTAATGAGTGTTGTCATCCATTCTGAGGCCTGCTGACGTGAAAGGTCCACACAGTTTGTCCTCCACGTCCCGAAATGAGAATCTCTCTTGACGCTAATTAGTTTGAACCTTCATGTGAGCCTTTTGTATTTGCCTAAAGTTATTTAGAGTGACGCAAAAGGATATATGTTTCACGTGAATGGTGATAGCAGAAGTTACACATATCTAACAAACTTACATCCTTTCTTCTTTTTCTTCCTCTTTTTCTTTTTGGACGTTGAGCTCTCTGCTTCATCTCCATCTGTAGAAGGGTGAATACATTCGGTTATATTTATTATGATGACAAACACAAAGTCATACCGAGCTCGGCATCGTCATTAGCATAGACAGCCTGGCAAGTAACTACTTCAATATTATGGTCACTATGTCAAAATACTTTTAAATGAACGTTGTGTTTTGGATTTGTTTAACCATATTATAGGCATAAAGTAGCAGAATTTCTACATGAGCTCCTTACTCCAAGACACTCTGCATTTTGCATCCCACAATGTTCTTTGTCCTCTATATCTTTAAAAAAATAAACCTTCAGGGCTCCACCTTTAGTCTGTTTCACATCACATCTATGATAGTACAGTGGTGCCTTAAGGGTTAACACTGGCCTGACTGATAATGCTCTAATTTGTGATGGCATAAACTTGACCAAACCCTAACCCTAACCCACAGCCATGTAGACCTCAGTCAGCCTCAAAAACAGCACATTACGTTATTACATTATGACTGGAATATCATTGGCACAATTCAGTATTCATTGGCATTAAGTATTCAGTAATTATACCTAATTTTCACAATGAATGATCAGAATTTGATAGCTCTTTTCTACCTTTCAAAAGAGGCACTAAAGCAAGTTACACACACACACACACACACACACACATACACACACTGGGGTGAGTGTCTTGCCCAAGGACACAACTGCACTTGTGAATCAGTGGATCTGACCACTCAATGAATGATTTTTCTGACCTTCAGACCAGAGGACATGATATACCAACTGAGCAACCGCCACCCATTCATCTGCTTTTACATTTATTATATTCTGACTAGCCTCAGAATGACTGGTTTCCTAGTGTGAAAGCTTTAAGCCCCCTGCTGAGGCGACAGAGGATGCGGTTGTCCCGCTGATGAGGATACCTTCTTCTCCATCTTCCTCTCGCTCTTTGTCCTCCAGAGTTTGCAGCTCCAACTGTTTTGTAACATCACCAAAACCTCCGGCTTCTCCATCCCCTTCAGCTTCATTCGTCCCTGCTGCAAAGTCACACATTTCTCGTGAATGCATGGCCTGAACAAGAGGTGCTCCAACACACACTCATTCAGTAGAGTAAGTAAATTACCGGTGGTTCACACTGAGACCAAGAAAGTGCCTTCAATCCTTGGCAGGGTCTCTGCATAATTTCATTCTATACATTGAGCGTCAATATTCTCAAGGGCATGTGTAGGCGACTTCGCAGTAATTGCCTCACAGATAAGACTCAGCCAACTCCAGGTACAAAAGTGGAAATAAAGTGATGCTCGATTCATATACAAAATATATCCATCATGCAAACCTGGACTTTGAAGTAATTATCCAATAGACTGTGGTATAAAGATGTCACACATAGTAAACTGGTGTGGACTTCTTCAAACAGCCCACAAAGAGACCATAAAAGTGTTTAACTGGAATATAATAAAGAGGAATTCATAAGTTTTAATATTTGGTTTAGATCTTACTTCTGATTTAGGAGCATATGGCATAGTCAACATGAAGCCAGTTGGTAAAAAATAACATAATGAAAAGTTTGAGATGACAAACAAAAGCATTACTTGTGCTAAAATCTCTCAGTGTCTTGTCTTCAGTAGAATATACCTCGGGATAAGACATTTCCCATTTTCTTCCAACAAGCTTCTCACCGGTTGCAAACTCTTACATGATGCTCTGGCCACACACTGTTCACTTGAAGCGCTACAACAGCCGGTGCAAAGTGATGCCACCTACCTAAGCCCGCAGTCCTGCTCTTTTTCTTCTTTTTTCTCCTTTTCTTAGCGCCTTCGGACGTGTCTGTGGCGTCCTCCTGTTCCTCGTTCAGCCCGTCGCCGTTGACAAGTTGCGGCTGTTCGGTGAGTGCGGGCTCCGGTGGTTCCGCCATGATCACAGACTGTAGATCAAGTGACGCATAAGCGCTAGGAGCCTCCAGTGGTCAGACACCGCTGCGGAGAGCGAGGCAGCGGCCACTACCAGAGCCTCCAGCTGTTTTCTCTCAGCTCTAAGCCATATGCATTTATCACCGTAATAACAAAAATATATAAATATGCTCTTGATCTTTGCCTTGCGGAAATACAAATCCAGTGTAAGCTGTAACATTGTACTCAAATAAATAAACGAATAAATAATGATTTTAATTCTACAGTAGATTATATTTATACTTATTTGGTAACACTTTAGTATAGCCCTCACTAAATAACAGCTAATTAAGAGCTAATTAGTGTATACATTAGATCCATAATTTATGGTTAATTAGCTCGTCACTGGTATTTACTAAGCTCTAATTAGTCCTTATTCAACATCTAACTAACTACTAACTATTTCCCATGTGGGTTATGGTTAGGGCTAGGCGTTAGGGTCATGGGGGCTAGGGTACACTTAACAAGTGAGGGCTAATCAAAAGTGTTACAATTTATTTGCATTTAATTTACTTTACACTACCTCGTGCAGCTGTTGTCAATATTGTAATTGTGTGTTGTATTAACAGCGTTATTTTAATTATTCATTTGTTAATTTTGTTAAACAAACCTCTTGGTGACGCGGTTACTGGGTCACGTGGAACTCGTCTCTAGGCGACGGCCCCGCGCTGCTCCAGGACCATATCCAGGACACATGGATCTATTGTCATAACGGCGCAGACCATAGCTGCCCTATGATGTATGTATATATGCACTATACTCATGTAAAAGTGTCCGCTTACAGGGCCACACAGAGTGGGTAAGGGGCCGTGGGTGCCCCTCTGTAGCTCCGGGTCATCGCGGTGCTAACCTGTGTGTGTCTGTTTACACTGAGCACAATGACTTCTGTAGGCCCAGTGTATTTCTTTGATCAGGTGAGATGAGAAAAAAGACAAGTGGATTGAAATAACCCAGACCATTAACTTATAATGATGCTGCTTTTTACAGCCAAGACGGATCAGAAATAAGGGAAGACGTACGAACTTGGATCTGGGTATGCGTAAAGAGGAGTGGCAAACAGAGAATAAAAACCAAAGGTATTCGAACTCCACTGGAATAAGTGATTCTTAAAATATTAAATCTTTCTGGTGGAAAATGCATATTTTTTTATACCACACTGGCATGACTGAGTTTTTATTTCAGACATGTGCACGATATACGAACAATCATTCACCTAAAACATGATAATAGTAAAAGCAAACAAGAGAACCAGCCATTCAGACACATACAACAATACGATCCAAAACAAGGATCAATACCAATATACAGTACCCTTTAAAGGTTTAAGCAGACCACAGACTACTATCCAAAGAATTGGTGGCCAAGACAAGGGTTAGAGTTAGGGTTAGGGTTGTTTATCTCTATAATCATATTTTTGGACATAATTATTTCTTGTACTAAGTAAACCAAAGATACCTCTGATCCCTCTGAACAGGGTGCTTTCAGGTGAAGAACAAGAGGAGGATAGCCCTGAATTGTCTTCACTTGTTTTTAGCCTAAAAGAACAGGACGTGATGGACACATACAAGCACAAAGCCCCGCAGTTACTCAGTGAACTGGCTCACGTTCTCTCGCAGCACAAGTGGAGCGCTGAAGGTCGAGTTCCTCACGGGCTCGTGAACATCCTCTACTACACTTGGCAGGAGCAGCTGCCGCCGGCTCCACAACACCAAAAATCTCTGACATTATCAAATATAGATTTATCCCCACAATCCATATCACGTCATCAAAAACGAGAAGTAGCCATTGGTCAAGCAAAACCGCAAGTCCGCACCAGTGCCAGTGTGAAGAAGAAGTCCATTGCATATAAAGGTAGAGGAAACACACAATGCAGAGGAGTATCTATTTGCTAGATTATTGCATTACGGCTTTATAAATAGGATGGAAAGTAGATAAACATTGATTTTTGCCAGTCAGCACCAAGTCTGGCCTCCAACAAATCCATATAGCATCAAATGAATTTGTAATGTTTCAGTATTAAGAAGAAAGAGGTGTCATGATGTATGGGGGAGACTATAGCAACACTATCCTGGTTGTAAGCAAAAAATCGATTGGAAAGTCTAAGGCAATTATAGACACAGTGTTCTCAATATTGTATGTTAGAACTTACTTACTTACACAGTAATCCAATCATAAATAAACACGATATTGCTATAGTGTTTGTGATAGGTGTAAATGTTTTAAAATAGATTATACATTATTCCCCAGAGTCTTCTCGCAGCTCAACATCTCTAAGTTTCTCCATTTTGAATCAAAGTAGTAGTGATCAAGGTATGAAATGATCAAAATTACTGTATAATGTCCATGTGTTATACATTAAAGATTGTACTATGTGTAATATAGGCTCAGATTGCATAATACAGCAACACCATACATCCTGCTTCGAGGACATCTATTTGTATAAGTGGGCCGCGGGGCGTCTACAAGAAGCAAGAAATACCACGTGTGTACTGGAATCAAAATCCTTTGAGTTTTCTTTTTCTACTTTGACTTAATTTCTAACCCATGAGTCTCCAACCTATAGCTTGGGAGCAACCAGTAGCTCGCCACCCTCTTCAAAGTAGCTTCCTAAGGGATAATTTTATAAGTAGATAAAAAAATGCCTTTGCACTAATACATTTTTATGGATTGTTTATAACACTACACAACAAAAATTGCAAAACAACAAAACAAAACATAAAAAGATAGTAATGATCCAAATTAGCACTATTTGTATTAGAGAACTTTTTGAGAGTCTTAAAACAAGATTTGCAAACAAGAAATACATTTGCTTTATCTGTGCTTGAGATTTCCAGTGTTTTAAGAAATGGTTTCCGATCTTAAGCAGATTGGAAAAAAAATCTTAAAACAACATCCACTGTAGCACAGTATTATGTCCACTGTCTGAAAGAAGTAGCTCTCTGCCACTTTTGGTTCTCCCAGGGAAAAGGTTGGAGACCCCTGTAATAACCTGTTCCAATAAAACATTTTCAATCTTCACAGAGCGTCATTGTCAGAACACAACAGATCAATATTACTTCGACACTATGGAGATCCCCAGCGGGTGAAAAGTGACTGGACCAAAGCCCGTCTTGGGGTACTTCTAAACGGTTTGCCACAAATCCCTGATTGGCAGCCACCGGAAAACCAACAGAAACTTCACTACAGAATCAACGATGGCTCCTCCATTATATAGTACCTATCACTATACATCATGTTTATTCAGGGACTGTTGTCTTGTGCTTTTGCAGTGTAAGGCATATGGAAATTGTGCCAGTGCAATTGACCTGTGACTCTCTGACCTGCCTCCTCAGCTACCCGTCTGGTCGTATGGCGGTGTGCCAGAGTTGCTCCGGTCAGCCTCCTGGAGGGTTTTACTCCAATGTGTTTTCTGACAGTGACCCACCTCTGATCATCGCCACCATTACAGCGTTTGGGCATGGTTCTGTGATGCCCTCTCGCAGCAGGTTATGTACAGGGAAAAGTGCTATGATGTTTTATTGTTTATGCTGTCTGTGATTGTGACTATGTGTCTCTGTGTGATGTCTTCCAGTTCTGCCATGTCAGCAGTGTGGGACCGGGCGGGAGGATTTATGTTCGACCACAAAGGCAAGGGAACCAAAGAGTGGAGCTGGACTGCTGGATTCTCCAAAAGGATTGTAATAGGGGTAAGATTGTAGATTTTTTGGTAATCTTAAAGCTGTGGTGCCTGACTGTCAAACCATTAAAATGTGAACTATGCTACAAAATCCGTGTAACTAATTCCTTGCGCATTTTTCCTGTCACGTTTTTATATCAGCTTTTCTCAGACCGAAAAGGCAAAAAGACAAATATGGACTCTTTCTTATATGCAAAGGAATACGTTTTCTCATATGACACCATGTTTTGGTCTGATTAATTAGATAAGACCTTTTTTTTCTATGGGACACAAAAAATGTATTTTAAGGAAACATTGAAAGGGGTACCTCTGCTGTAACCCAAACAGATATTTTTACAAACATGAGATAAATCTTCCCATAAACTGAGAACCTCAATCAATATCCATCATAATTACATTGTTGTGTTTTCTCTTTTAGATTTCTGAAGAGATGACTTTGCACTTGCTCAGTGGTACATCCGCTGTGCTCAAATTTAAATGTGCCAAGGAATGCGTACAACTTCCCATTTCTGCATTACCAAACTCCAACACTTTCAACACAATGGTGATTTTTGTGCTGTCATCGCGAATGTCAAGCCTCAAATATGAATACACTTGCAGTATTTTCCACCTGTTCTTTCAGTTATGTTTAAAGACTGACACTCAGTTCTCTTCGGACACGGCTCAAGATCTCCTCAGCGTTCCATCCCCAGTCGTCTGCTCGGACAACAACAGGACTGAGACATGCGTGAGTGAATATTATGTCACACACATGAAGCGTGTAGGGCTGTATCATATTGTCCTCTCTGCTTTTGTCTACTCTTGGCAGGTGTCATCGTGTTCTTGGTACTGCCCGCATGCGGTCAGAGCGCCGGAGCGGCCGGAGGATACGGTGTCGGTTTGGAGAAAAGAGGGGAAAGCCGTCAGGGAGCTCAGAAAAATCCAACAGAGAGCACAGTGTATTCTGGAGTCTTGGATGGACCTTTACTGCGTAGCAACGGGTATCCACTATATGCACTATACTCCAAGATGTGTGCTTTTTGTGGTACATTCCGGGTCCATTTTATTCAATCATAGTGCCCTGAGAGGTTTTCATTTTCAATTTAGTTACTTCACAATTGTCTAAAATGTACCATTTATTTAACCAGAATTCTCCCACTGAGTTCCAGGATAAGGGGGAAAGTCGATTGTACAAAACATTTGTATATGATTTGGCCAGCTAACAAGTCTTACCAGAGGCCTTTAGTTATTCAGATTCTGAAAGTGCACATTCAAAGCTTTCGAAGAATGAATAACATGTGGAAATCTGATGATATTTGAAGGATTTTTTGTCATTACAGAGGGAGGTCACCTGAAATCACAGAGGAAAACAGACTCAAAATGTTCCCTCTTTCAGCCCAGTTAGAGGGAGAAGAACACAATCTTACTTACTTCCATCTCATTAGAATAAAACAAAGAATGCTATCTGAGACATTGAGTCGGTAGTTCATGATCTTACCCAAAAACTTCAACAAAAAAAACAAAATAAAGAAAATCCGAAAAAAAAAGAAAAACCCTTGTTGGTAGATTTGCGTGACATTTTCTTGTACAACTTTTGACCCTTTTTACTGGAACACCTGGAGACACAGGCACAGGGAGAGCATGCAAACTCCACACTGAAAGGCTCTGCTTCTCACCCATGGAATTGACTACTTTGTATAATCATTATTTCTAGATACAAAGAGCCAAACCCAGTGGCCCTCTTTCTAAACATTGTTTTTTAAAGGGCCTTTTTTCTCTATAGACATGTGCAGGTACAGTATATGGGGAATTCATTGATTGTCCATTGTTCGTGAAGTTGCCCTTGAATTCTAACTGAAATAGTGGAAGAAGGAGCTAACCAATGTTGTCATGGTGATTATTTTTAACCAAAAACATTCATTATCACTTCATCCTGCAATCTCAACATTATTGAATTGTTCAAAGTGGATCTTGTTCACGGTCACCTGTGTCAGTCAGAGTCTGTGTCTCTCACTGACCTCGCCTTCCCCTTCAGGGATCCGATGTCCCAACATGCAGTGGATGCCAGATGTCCCACCGAGGTCCAGGCTGAAGAGAGAAGTACAGTTGGCCGCTCTGCCCTCTCTGAACTTATCCCAACGCACAAACCCAGAGCCACAGAAGGAGGAACAACACAAACTCCTGCCACGGCCAAAGCATCAGAACCGTGCTCCAAGTCCTCCCAGGTAAAAACACAATCTCCAAACAGCGCTATATTTGTTTTGTCCTTTTTTTGCAATTGATTATGTCCCGTATCACTGTGTGTGTGTGTGTGTCTGTATGTGTTTGTGTTAATGTATTTTGTGTGTGTCTTGAATTGAATCACATTTTTCCAGTTATGACAAAACGGAAATCACGTCAAAAAATCACACAACAAATCGGACTTTTAGGCCTATAATAGATTACATGAAAGACTACTGCTTGTGAAAGCCTGATCAAGCAAGATTTCAGGAGCTAAGCAGGACAGGGCCTGGTTAGCACTGTAATGGGAGACTAGTGGGAACATCTGGTGTCAAAGTGGGGTGAGTGTAAAGTGTCAAACTGTGGTGTGTGAGTCTGGTGTGCGCTGAACGATTGGTGGTTGTTGGAATGGCCAATGGCACTGCGAGTTTCCCTACTTCCCTCAGTCTGTTGCAGGGCAGCTGTGGCTTTAGCAGTGGCTGTGGCTTTTGACACCAACATGTAAACATCTTTGCGTGTTTTAAAATGCACTATTTTAATAACAGGCCATTATTATTTGTTATTGTTACTGATTAAAGTTGATTCAATTATATCACTATGAAATGATCAACATGGATGAATATGATTTGTCTTACTGTTTGTGTTTTAACAGACCACAGACAAAAAACCCCAAGGAGGATCACCCCATCACAAGGATCGGACCTGTTCAGTTTTATGGCTGCATCAAGCGGGAGTAAGACCATCATCAAACATCATCAAATATGATAAAATACATTACTACTACTGCATCACTCTTCATTGTATAATTGTAGGTCGGTGATACTTCCAGTAGACCCAGACCAACAGACCACATCTGCCCCACACCCTGTCCAGTTGCCCTCCTCTCCCTCTGGCCCTCTCACACACTGCCCCGTCCTCCTCAGAGCTGCCCTGAGCGGGGACATCACACCGCGGCGATGCTGCTGCAGCGCACTGACCATGCCACTGGTGAAAGACTCGGAGTACGACCTCTTTGTGTTGGGCCAGCCTCGGCACAGCCACCAGATGCTGATCGTGTGGGTGACATGCCAGAACCTGAACCCAGATGCACTTGGCAGAGCTGCACCGGAGAAGCTTTACAGGACGAGGAACAAGCACAGGATGATGCCGTGCACTCAGGTGTGACCGCTGCAGAACAACTCAAATAACTCAATGTACCTTTTCTCCAGAGGGTTACAAGAACATCCACTTTCATCAGCAAATAAAATGAATGTACTTGTAACTAATACACCAAGGACGACACTTTGCATTATCTACAAAAAGGAATAAATCACAGCCGTCAGCACAGTGGATCTCTGATGTACAGTGCAGGGATAAAGGTGTCGTTATGTTATGGTGGGCAGAAAAGGGGAAAATACACTATGTGAAAGTAATCTTTATTTGTATAGCGCTTCATAGAGATTCCATAAATATGCTTAGTTGGATGTTTCTCGCTACACATTACTGCAGTGTTCGACAACCTTTTGGAGCCTCAAACTTTTTCCAATAAAAAAGTAAATCATGCACTACACCACCAGCTGAAACTGATAAAAAAGTGAAATTCTAAAGCTTTCATTATCAACGCTAAGCTATGGAATAGAAAGTGTATTGAATAGAAAATTGAAACAAGCTCAAAGAAAAGAGTATTTGTAATCTTCTCACAATATTTTAGACCGCAATTGATTGATAAACTCAAGGCACGCAAACTAAAAGCACTGCATCAGGCAAGGCAAGGCAAGTTTATTTGTATAACACAATTCATACACAAAATTCTGAACAGAATAAGACATAAACAATCACAAAAGGCATTAAAATCATAAATAATCACAGTACATTAAGAAGAGTAAAGATAAAATCCCTCAGTTATGCACAGCTAAAAAGAACTGTTTTGAACCTGGATTTGAACACAGTTACTGTGTCTCTTTACCGGCCCATGTGCAGTTATTGTGTGTGTTCTTATTTAGTGCCAGATGGATTCCTTTCGCCTGGTGAGGTATGACATCGCAGTACCAAAGCCCTGTTACGAGGCAGAGAAATGTCTTCTGCAGCAGAGACACAACGCATGCCCCGACATGGTCCTGGTCAGTACATAATAGATCCATGGTACATCCCCACTGCAGATTTGGTCACAGGGTACTTCACCATACTGTGTGATGCCACTGGAGGGCAGCACTGAGCAGGAGCTGGATGAGGTGAAAACAGGGGGCATAGCCTAAAGCCATTCATCATGCTTTTGTCAGTAAAGAATGGGCCTCCTTAAAAACAAAAGGGAAGGCTAATATTTAAAACTCAAACAGATGACAACAGCACTAAAGATTTGGCTATAAGATGGAAAAGCCTGATGATTTATTCCACGTATTCAATTTCGCATAATGACTTGGAAAGATGCCATTATTTATTTGGGGAAACAAAATCTTCAGATTTACAAACATTAAGGTTACAAACAGTGAAATAGCATGGTCTCTTCTTGTTCATTAACAACCTATAGGACAGAGATGGACAGAGATCAGATTGACATAGCATACTTTAAACAATTACCTGTATTTCATTTTCATTTGCCAACAGATGTACATCAAGGGGAAGCTGTTGTTTATCGACTACATTGACTTCAATGATCTCAACTGCCCATTTAAAGAGTTTGAAAATAAAGTCTCCAAAGCCCGTGGAGACTACAGATCAGGAGTCTTCCTCTCTTCAGATTTTAAGTTCAGGTAATTTTATAATATCTATTTCATAATATCTCCTCATATAATTTATAATATCTCCTCATATAATTGGACTGTTACTGTGAAAGTATGCAATCTATTCAAAATAAATTGTATACTTTCACAAATGTGTGTGTGTGTGTGTGTGCGTGTGTGTGTGTGTGTGTGTGCTTTATGTATCCTATAGTGCACCAGGGTGATCACATCTAATTTGGGTGTGCCTTCTTGTGTTTCTCATATTTTAGAGACAGATTCGATACAGTCACTAAAGTCCCTTCATCATGGACTATACGAGAGAAAAAAGGTATGATAATCAATATGCTATGTGATTTATTATGTATTGTGTGTGTGTGTGTCTGTCTTGCCTGAGTGCAGTTGCTCCAGCAACTCTATGGTAAAAGGGGTTGTTACTTAGATTTTTCTACCCATAAGCAAGAGATTGAAAAATATTACGTAGGTTTTTATCATTTAACAATAAACATGGTAAGCAGCATAACCATCTCTGTAGTTCAAGATTGTAGAACTCAGTTAACGATGTCTATGAATATGAAATATTTGAATGTAATAATGACTCACTCTCTTCATCTTCCAGGTTCAGAGATGACATTGTCCCAGTCCAAAAGAGACAATTTTCACAAACCAAAGAAAACACTGTCCTCCTCAACACTGTCTCAGAGCATTGTACACACACAATAAACCTCAACTGCATTGTGTTTGCAGCTGGATATGTGCAAGTGTGTTTCTTGTGTGTGTTTGATTGGAGGGGCCTGTGTTGCAGAATAGCAGCCTCACTTCTGTGAATTTGCCCCACGGCAGCTGGGTGTGGTGTGAAAACAAATACATCTGTGGTCTGTAACATATTCTTATGAACATAAGGGCTTTGAGTTTTTATTTCTGAAAACAGGGAAGGACCCACCACAGTCATAAAAGTCATGTGTTGATCACATTCATCTTCCTACTCTTCCAGTGACCATAATTACATAGCCTTCCCGCAGCCTTCCATCGCTGCTGGACCTGTACGTCGCCCGAGCTCGAGGCCGGGCTGGTCGTATCACAGCCGACCCCTCTCACCCTGCACATGGACTATTCCAACCACTCCCCTCAGGCAGGAGACTGTGGTCCATCAGGACTAGAACCTCCCGCCACAAGAACAGTTTCTTCCCCTCTGCTGTTGGACTCTTGAACACTTCTTAACCTGTCCCCCCGCCCTTTATAAAGTCACTTTACTGCCCATCATACGTCACTTTACTTCACTGTACTGCTGTCAACTTACATTGTGTGCACCATGTGCACTTGCATATTGTAAATAGTAACTGTAACTCTATTTTAAATTTAAATGTATTCTTTAGAAGTGTTTTTTATTCTTATTTTTATTATCTCTTTCTGACTGTTGCACTGAGCCAAAGCAATTTCCAAGTCTGTGACCTCCTGTTACTTACGTGGCAATAAAAATGATTCTGATTCTGATATGTTAACATCTGTATTATGAAAACAGCTGATCAGTGCAGAATTGCTTCTTCATAACGAAGAAGGTGCACTGGAATCTGGATGAACCAGCCCAACACTCCACTCACACTGATTGGACCAAACACCGCCTAATGACTGATTAGTAATGTCTATGGTGTTTGACTCCTGGCGCCCCCTAGCGGCAGTGTGGAGAAGCGCAGCATGACTCCTGCAGCAGTCAGTCAGAGGAGAGCTGAGCCGATGGACAAGAGTGAGCGCGGAACCTACGAAAACAACTCTTCATTTTAATGCAGATTAACCCTGAATACTGCTGATGTGTCTGCGGCGAACAGAATTGGATTTTCCCTTCATTTAAACCACTTTTGGAGGAGAAAAACAAGAGCGATAAAGAACAATGTTGAACACAGGTAAGCTTGTTCAGCCTGTTTACAGGTGGAGTGTGGTCATTCATTACACTTTATTGTTATCATTTTAAAAACTGTTTTTGAAGAAACGAAAAAAATAATCAAAAATATTTTCGAATAATATCGAAACAGGAAAACAAATCAGTGCAAAAGTAAAGTTTTAGAAATGTATTCTAAAAGAATAATTGAATCAGTTGCAGATTTTCTTGACAAGAGGCTGTTTGTGTGCCCTTACCACTACACTAGGCTTATAGCTTTGATTTGTTGAAATTATACTAGTAAGAATTATTTTCTAGTATATGTATGTAGCATGTATTTTTGAACCACTGAACCAGTCTGCAAGGGTTTTTCCATCCCTCTTGTATCTCCCCCTCTGTCCACACAGGTCTCTCTGTTTGTGTTGTTTCAGAATAACTCCATGTGATGTGGAACCCCAGCAGAGTAGATACTGGTACTATATGGCAGATTTACACTAAGCTGCCACTGGGTTAGGATCAGAGCAGATTTACATATTTGAACTTGTATTAGAACAACTTCAAAAGCCAGACACGAGGAACATAATGTAACAGAAAAGAAAATTGAATATATAATGAACTGTTAAAGCTGGGATACCTAACTTTTAAATCACAAAATAAATTATCATAAACTCCATCTAACTACATTCCATATGCACTTATCATTGAAGTCGAGCATACCTCCCGGACTCAGCCAATCAGCTCTCAGCCCAAAGCGCCAAATAGTGACTCAAAGGGTTTTCTCACAATATGCAACATACAAAAGATTACATGTTTTCTAATAAGAGGAAGCCAGGGCACTGTGATCTGACTTGTTAACGAAATGTTACCTTTACAACACTCCAAATGTATTAATTATTGAGAAAAAAGTGAAATCTCAGTGTTGCATCACCAGTTAAAGAAGTACAACATTTCTAACTTTACCATAAAAAAGAAGAAAGTCTAAAATCTCCAACTTTAGTCCTGATGGTTTCATTTTAATTTTGAGCCATAGTTGTGTTGTTTATTTTTCCAACTAGTGCTTGTACTGCCCTTATTATGTTTGTTAAGAGACACTGCATTTCAAAGTTGTTTGACTATTTACAAAAGAGGACAATATAAATCTGTGTAGCTTTTCTTGTCTCATGTTTGTCTTTTGAATTTTTTTAGGTTTTCAAAAGCCACCTCTGGCTCCGAAACCTAAAGTTGGGCTCTCTCCAAAGCCAGGCCAGTCTCCAGCCTGTACACAAAAAGAGGGTCTGTCGCTGCCATCTCCTGCCATCGCACGCAAACCAAAACCAATCCTAGCTCCTAAGCCCATCGTCCCCAAAGTCACCACCACAGCTGTATCTCCGGGCCCAAAACGAAAACTACCAGCTGGGGCAGACAGCGCAGTGGGCCTGTTAAACTCTCAAAATGGATTACGCCAAGAAAACAAAAGGCCGGACTGGGATTATATCATTCCTATTTGTTTGTGTAGCAATGAAAACTGCAGATGCATCAAAAACGAAACTTTTTCCAAATTAGAAAAAGAGTTGACGATAACGAAGAAGAAAAGTAAAACGGAAACAGAACACCGGAAAGTGGTGAGCGACGATGTCAAGGGCTATCGTGAATCAAAATCTCCCCCATTAGAAGACACTCCTCAAAAGAATTCAACAGAAAATTCAAATGCCCTGGTCATAAAAAGTCTCAAACCCTTCCAAGAGGTGATCACATTGTATCAAAACGTCAACACCGTAGACAATATCTACAGTCCCGCCTTAACTAGCAACCCATCATTTCCTCACAAAGTGCAAGAGCAGGCAAAAAAAACTAACGTCATTTCTCAAATTTCACCTGGACTTGCACCAAAGGAAGAGAACCTATCTATCTCAAACTCAGCACCCACTAGGAAACACGCCCCTGTCCCTGTACCTCGGAAACCCCGGGCGGCCATAGCGGTTGAGCAGGAAACTGTGCTGGACAAGATAGGGAACCAGGAGGTGAATGAAACGTCCTCAAAGGTGAAGAATCGCCCACCCGTGTCTGTCAATAAACCTGCATTGCCTCTGTTAATCACCAAAGCTCCCCTCCCAAAACCAACATTAGGCCCTCCAGTCCCTCCCAGGAACAAGGCATTTCTCTCTGACATAGGTAAAAGCTTCAGCAGCGAGGATGTGGAGGAGGAGGACTTGAGCTGGGACAATCCCGAGATGGAGTTGTCGGTGGATAAAAGCGATAATGAGTTTGAACTAGAAGGAGACACGACCGACGAGCCCATTTATAACTCCATCGATAGCTCTGTTAGCGCGCCAAACCAGCTCAAAGAAGGTGTTGTGGGAAGATCGCCGCCGCTAAAACCGCTACGACGAAACAATCCGATGGCAGGGAGTATAGAGTTGTTTGAGGACAACAACAACCAGATGCCCGATCCAAAGGAGACTCAGCCTTTGCAGGACACGAAGGAGTTAATTTCGAGACAACTTCCATTGCCACCAAGCGACGAGAGTAACACGCATCTTACATCAACTATCAAATCGCAACGTTCTTCGACTCTGAGCAAGGCCAAGTCATTTTCGACCACAGATGCCTCTCGCCCGCAAAAGTTTAGAACAAACTCGTTTAAAAGGTTCCTGGGCTTTAAGCTTCCTTTTAAGAAGAGAGGAAAAGGAAGTAGCAACAGTGAGACAGACTCCGAAGATGGAAACGTCCCAGAATTCAAGGAGCAGCGCACGGCCTCCTGTCCACTTTTGGAAAACCGTGAAGATGGGGAAGTGTTCAAGACTGAGGCAAAGGATTATACCGAGGAGGTCGTGGTTTATGAGGAGATAACGGACTATGTGAACGTCAACGTGGAGGACGCATCCTCGGTGGAAAGCGAATGGCCAAGTCCACCACCGACCATTGATGATGACCAGGGTGTTTATGAAGAACAGGAGCCATACGTTAAAATGGAGATGAACGTTCCAGATCCACAAGAGGATTACAACTATCCCAGGTAAAAAGCACTCGACCACCTTTGTAGAATTGTTAAAAAAAACAGGTTTAAGATGTAGCATTGTGTCTGTCTAAGCTCTTAAAAACAATTCAGTATGACCACTCAGTGCACTTTTCTTGTGGCCTGTTGCCTTTATAAGTAGGAGACGGAATGATGGTTTCATTTTGTGTATTCTTTAGTTTCAGTTGTCGAGGCAGGGTAAAAAATAAGTACCAGAGAATGCACAATACGCTCATGACAAAGTTGCAGTGTGTCTATAAATATCCAGACAATGACAGGCCGTGAGTGTGTGCTTTTTCTGTCAGAGCAGTTTTGGCTCCAGCCGTCTGATTATTCCACATTTGGACCAAAATGCCCATTGACAACAAAACACAAAAAAGACACAAGAAAAACACGTAAGACTACATAGGGAAACAATTGACACTGTGAAGCAACGAGATTTAAAAAATAAGCACAAGCTAAAGGAGATATAGTGATTATTGAAGTAGAAGTACCAGATTAATGCCAGTATGGTTTAGCCAATTGAAAAATGCTGTGTTTGGGATGACTGATGTCAATAGGATTACATTTGTGTAGTTGTTGTAACTGAAGTCGGTTGAAGCAGTTTGTAGAAAGGCTGGCTGTCAAGATCGGCCATGTTGTTAGATCTCTAGGAGGCTGCTTTATTAGAGATAATCGATCCTTATCTGTCCCACAGTGGGGAAATGCCAATGTTGCAGCGCACATACAGGACAGTAGTAAGAGCCCACAGGGAGCACACAAAATAAGTAGTAGCTATGTTTCTTAGCTAGCTGTAAATGCTTCAATACCAGTCGATAGTTCATAGTTCATTTCTTATTCCACCCTGTCACCGGGAGAAATATGTTATTTTTTGTATAAATATTTTACTTAATATCTTGATGGTGCAATATAAAGGCCAGAAAAATCATTCTTCATTTGTTTATATTGTGTGTGTGTTCTTAGCGCACTTGTATATAGAAGTCATTTTATTTTAAGATCTTTTCTAACCCATTTTTACTCTTGTTTGCAATAGCCAAAAGCCTAGTTTGTGACTTCCTCTTACTTACGATGGCAATACAAATAATTCTGAGTCTGATTATTGATTATTGATGACTGATTATTCCACCAGAGCTCTTCAGCAGGTGTGCATGGACGAGGAAAGGCCGTCAGATGAAGATGTACTGTACAACACCACTGACGATGAGTGGGACGACGACGAGTTTGACACGAGCTCTGAAGGGGCAGAGTCTGAGCAAACAGTGGAGAGTGCGGTGAGAGCGTTACACTTTGCTTCAGTCCCAAGATATGGCTAAATACATTTACCTAAGCTAACACACAAGGCTGCACTGAAGGTCTCCGAGATAACCGTTTGTGCGCAGGGGCCTATAGGGAAGTATATATATCATCTTTTTGACACTTTCTTTGCCCGTTTTTCCTGACCTCAACAGATGCTGCAGACACAGGAAACATTACATTAATAAAACAGTGAAAGATTTGTCTTCTGGGAGTACTGTGTTCATCTATCAAAGTGAGCTTTTGCAGTAATTGTATGTGTTTCCATCTGTTTCAGACTTTGATAAGGAAGAAAAGCAAGATACAACACATTGCCACAGAAATAATGACTTCAGAGAATGTGTAAGAAACTGATCAATATATATACAAACTGCACTACTTTACATTTTCAACCATTCCATTAGGTTTAGTCTTGATTTTGGGGTGAAGTATAGTCACTGGTCCGTCTTGTAATGGTTAAGATTAAGATTAAGAGATCCTTGATTTATCCCACAGTGGGGAAATTTCAGTGTTGCATCACCAATTACAGAGCAGAAGGAATGAGTAGCACACAAGATAAATGAACAATAACTATACAAAATAAAATTAAAATGTCTAGCACAAAAAGAAGCAGTCTAAAATCTCTATCTTTAGCACAATGAGTGCAAAAACCCGGACTTTTCAGAATCAAATGCAGCAGTCCGCATTTAATATCTGAACTGTTTGAACTGACTTTAGTGACTATTGCACCGAGTTCACACTTGTTTGATGCTTTTATGTTTCCACAAATTAAATATTTTACACCAAGGGAACCAGACGTGGTCCAGTATAAAGTGAAGCAAACCAGTGAACGTGCCCGAAATGTCTTTACCAGATTACAACACCAAATAGGATCAAATCTTGTTCTGAGGCAAATGTATTTTTTGAGTCTTGAGCCTAAACCCTATACTATTTCCAAACGATACAATGTTTAGAGAAAGGAGGAAATCCGAGGCATTCTTAAATAAAAGCCTTTACTGAACAAGGAAGAGGATTTTATTTACTATAGTGCCTCGGATTTCCTTCTTTGTCTAACGTTACCACTGTTTTCTTCACTGCTGATCCTGATGAGCACCTGACCAAAATTATTTCCTCCTAACTATTTACTGTACCTTCGTCCTCCTCTGAGATGAATATATCTAATGTTATCTATGCTTCCTCTTCTAGGTTTGTTGATGTCCTGAAGCTCCTCCATGTTGTAAGTCTATTACATCTCGAACTACATGTTGGGTTTTTATATTGTGTCTGCTTTTCGTCCAAACCAACCACACACTGAATGTAAAAAACCCACATTCTCCATTTAATTTGACAATAGAGGCACACCCTACATAACTAAGTGCTAGTGTCTGTAGTGTACCATAATAAGGCTGAGGTTTAGGCCACATTATTCACATTCCTCAAGGTTTATTTACTGTTGGAAGGTAAACAAAAACCTCCACTGAAGCAGTATTATTTTCAATTCCGATGGTAGCTAAATATAATTAATAACTGAATTGGTGAAGTAAGCTTATAACGTGAGTTGGTCCTTGGAGATACATGATACTGTGTGTGTTTGACAGGGAAAATCTGATTTTTTTTTATTTTGAGAGAGACCCTCACAGGCAATGCATTCTTGGATGTTGCAGATTCGCAACATTGGCGATATATAGGAGGAGATATAGTCTACTAATTGGCATGTACTTTATCTATGCAGTTTTGATTTCACATTTTTAGAGGTTGGTTGTGATACTGACCGCATGGAGAGGATCTATATTTTGTGTCACAGCCACAAAGGAATACAAGAAACAATGAGAATATTAAGAGTTGCAAGTGTCCCTTTAACTTTCTCAAAATGTCAAAAGTTCCAATGATGGCTTGATTTGTCTTTTGCAAACATATATACATCTTTGCTGACATTAATATGGAATTAACCTTTCCATTCAAATCAAGTTGAGGAAATAGGGACCATTACTTGTTGCGCAAGATGACCCAATGACTGAAAGCTTGTCTTGTATTCACACTGTGACTCAAAAATGGACGTACAATAAACTCACATTCAGAAAATAATGATTCATTTGGCAAAGCAGGTCTAAAAACACGACTTAACAAGCATGTGTATTTTCACAAGTCTTTTGTCTTGACGTACAGACACTCCAGCTGCAGAAGCGCTTGGATAGGATTAGGTCGCACGTGGTAAAACCACGAAAACACTCTTTTGCCCGGCGCTTTCCACTTTGTGCTTTCCACGCAGTTTTATCAAAACGAGAACAGAAAACAGCCTCCTCTGCCCGACAAGCCAAGCGTTTAGTAGGACTTAAGTGTCTAAAAATCACAAAATGAGAAGGAAGTATTACAATAACGATATGATTCAGGATATAGATAGCACTGGGAATTATCTATTATTAAAAAATACAAAAGTAACTGTAATAAATTGGATGAGTGAATAGCATTCTCGCTTCTCAGAAAGAAGATTCTGGGTTTAAATCCTGGTTGGAACAGGGCCTTTTTAACAGGAGTTTGCATGTTCTCCCCGTGTCTGCATAGGTTTCCTCCGGGTGCTCCGGTTTCCCCCACCCCTAAAATGTGTTCAGGGTGAATGAATGTGAGTGTGGGGCAACAGATGCAAATTATCCCTCGGCCACAATCCGGAGAGGTGTGTTCATTAGCATGCGCTGTCCCAACCAAATTAGCAATAAAATAATTCTTATCACTCTAAAAACCACTTGGCTCTATCATGTATTTTAGGACTGTCATATTTTTAGCTCCGCTTTTTCAGACAGAAAAGTGAAAAAGAGAGGACCACCCTCACTCTGCCAATCTACTCCTAGTATATAAAGGATGTTTTGAGATTTTAAGACCGTGTGTTGTGGTCTGATTTGTTAATAATGTTATTTTTTCAAGACTCTTTCTGTTCTCTGTCTCCGTGTATGGAGAGTCGGGGGAGGGGTATTACCCTTAAAACAACTTCAGACTCGGAATAGACGGGCTCAGTAACCCACAGAGTATTTTTTTAAATCTGAAACCGTCTGCGGTAGCTGTGATCATAGCCGCTATTTCTCCACACGCTCAGAACCAAATTAAACATCACCAATACACACAAATGCTATTGCTGTATTTCAGTTTCATACGTCACTCAAAATTGTACCAATGATACCGTTTGTGGTATTGCATCGCACAGACCTAATGTTTAGTCCGTGTATTATTACCATCCATCCACTTCCTGTGTGTATACATCTGGTAAAGACTCAGCATTTGGACTTCAAGTGTCTTTTGCTTGTTTATGAATGACTAGATTTATTAATGCAAATACTTCGAAGAGCACGTTTATCTCCAGGTCGTTGTACTTTATAATTATTTTTTCTATATTGATTTTTATCTCTATTATAGGCAAGGGGAACGTTTATTTGTGTAGTGCAGGCATGCTTTACAAAACAAGGGAAGAAACATTAAAATCATACAAGGACATTAGAAATCAAATCATTTATAACTACAGATAAAAATCAAATAATCACAGCTCATTACAAAGAGTGTGGTTACAATCTTTCTATGTCGTATAACGATTTGGTTTATTTATCAAACTCCTGAGCACCTATGTTGTGTTATGTTATTGCAGGACTTTCGGAATGCTGTGTTCGCCGCCTCACGCGAAAGTGGGAAAACTGTGATTGAAGACCGGCTGCTGGATCAGATTCTCTACTACCTCCCACAGCTCTACGAACTGAACCAACAACTGCTGAAGGAGCTGCAGCAGAGAGTAGCAACCTGGTAGTTACACAGACACACTGTACAGCACTGTAAGCTCATGCTAGGGATTCACCGGCTTTTTTATGTCCGATATAGCATTTTCCCCCTTATATAAGATAAGATTAACTTAATTGATCTCACAATGAATCAGAGAATGAGAATGAGTCTTTATTCGGACAATGCAAAGTAAAAATATTTTTTAAAAACCTATACGTGTACAATGTATGTACAATTTGTTCCCTGAAGGAATATATAAAATAAACAATCATGTTCAAAAGGGAGCAGGAAGAAGTGTAATACTTATGTAACCCCGCCCCCTTTTCTTCTTAAACAAAAAAAAACAGTCCGACTTCCCTTTATCTTAATAGATCCAAATTATCCAACAAAATAAACTAAAAACGACAGAGGAAATTTAAAATACACAGATCATATTTACATTATTACAAAAAGTGTGATTTTATTGTCTATGTTTCTTAATATCTCTAGTCATCTTAATGCTATCATATTTTTTAATCATATTTTTTTATGTTTATGTAGATTTTAGTAGTAATCTTTATTTATATACCACCTTTTCACTGCAGATCTGAGTATAAAAGCGGTTTACAACTGTTATTTTTAGGCATTTGTCTCTCGCCAGTACAGGAGGCGCATGCCAGACCTATTGTACATATTTTTTAGCGGTAGGGGAAACCTACGCAGACACGGGGAGAACATGCAAACTCCACTCAGAAAGGCCCTGGTCCAGCCAGGATTTGAACCCAGGACCTTGTTGCTGAGAGGCGAGAGTGCTATCCACTCAGCCACCGTGCCGAACATTTTAATGTTCATGATTTTTGCCTCATGTGATTTGGGTGTGAGGCGCTTCGTTTTGCCTTGTGCAGGAAAAGGCGCTCTACAAATAAAAGTTGTTTGATAGATTGTAAAAGGGTCGAGTTATGTAATATAACAGTTAATATAACAGTTAATATAACAGTTAATATAACAGGTATTTTATCCTGACGTAAGTACAGGTAAATCTATACCATTCTGGGGTAATATTAGTTGGTAGAGAAGATGGTCTCATTACATCAACCGAAACGGCTCGGCCTTGCAGATGACATAAAACTGATACTGGATTGAAACCTTTTTACTAATATTAGCACCATTATTGGACACCGGCCTTGTGTCGATGCATCCCTTTTTTTTCATACATATACTTACATCATTTTCTGTCATTGTTCATTGGTTTTGAACTGTTCACAAATGAGAGAAGAAAACCGTCACCTGTTTAGACGGCGTTGTATCTTTTGATGTTGTTAAATACTGAAATTGACAGTGACAGACAATTGTACTTTTCTGCAAACGTATGACTTAATGCAGTGATGCAAAATTATTCCCACACTTCCTTTTTAACACTTAAAGAAGAAGCGTCCCAAAATAATATCTTTAACAAAGCAAGTTATTGACATATTTGACTAACGCAGCACTTGTCATAGAAACAATTGCAACACACTCAATCTGTGGTTATTGCAGAAGATTGCACGTTCTGGTAAAGATGTGTTGTAACCTTTTTGTTATTCTGTGTGTAGGGGGAATAACTCAAAAGTGGCAGATATTTTTGTCAAGAAAGGGCCTTTTCTAAAGATGTATTCGAACTACATCCGTGAGTTTGACAGGAATGTGGCTCTACTGGAGGAGCAGACAAAGAAGAACCCGGCATTTGGTGCCGTCGTTAAAGAGTTTGAAGTGAGGAAACTCGCAGAACCCGTTTGGTTCTGTGTCATGCAGTTTACATACTTTCATTATTGTTCTGGGAAATTTATTGACTTTTTTTTAAAAAGGCAAGTCCCTGCTGTGCCAACTTGGCTTTGAGACACTTTCTCCTCAAGCCTGTTCAGAGAATACCACAATATCAGCTGCTGCTTACAGGTAAATTATACTCTGGAAATCAAAAATATTTTGGTTAGAAAACCTATTTTAATACTAGAGAAAAACTGACATTCCAATCTACACGGTCTTTCATTATCCATAGTTGTTCTATACTGCCCTCTGCTGTCCAGAAAGCCATTATGCGTTTTAACTATACCCTTCAACAATCCTTATGTAATAGGATTTAGATGTACAAAACACGATTTACTGACATAACTTGGACTTTGTGTGTGTTTTGTTGCTGGGAAATCAGTTTTTAATCAAAGGAATGTTCCCCACGTCATAAGTAATTGCATAACAAAACCGTTTGCATATGCTGTTACTTTAAGATTAGATTAAGATTAAGAAATCCTTATTCGGGCCACAGTGGGGAAATTTCAGTGTTGCATCACGAGTTACAGAACAGATTAGTGAATAATAACTATACTTAAAAAAATAAAATCTCTAACTTTAGTATACAATCTCTCTCTTTCGCATAATTAGGAAAGAAGTCTAAAATCTCCAACTTTGTTATGATAAAGGAGCGAGACTTGAGTACAAAAACCCTGACTTTAGCATAATAATATAAAATGCTGTATATTCTCGTGCAAGTATATAGTTATAGTATATATTATACTTTGTACACATGCTTATCCTTGCTTGTTCTTTGTTTTAGATTATCTGAAAAACCTGTCTGAAGATGCATCTGATTATAAAGACACACAAGGTACAATTTGTCTAAAGTCATAGAAGCATTGTTTTTGCAGAACTATAATCTTGAAATTATTTTCAGAGGCCCTGGTCATAGTGAAGGAAGTGGCCAATCACGCCAATGACATCATGAAGCAAGGGGTACGTCAGAGAAACAAAATGGAATATGACTTATTTACTCTTTGTTTGATTGCGTTCTTTGTTGTAGGACATATTTCAGAAGCTGTTTCAGGTGCAGTGCAGACTAATTGGCCACCATGAGATTGTCCAGCCTGGCAGAGTAAGTCGAGATATACCCTTATATGGAATAAAATACATTATTATGATGTTAATATTTCCAGTCTATGTGTTCAACCATACAATCTTTCGTTTCTTATTAGATCTTTCTGAAGGAAGGTGTTGTCAATAAGCTTTCCAGGAAAACAACAGAGCCCAAAATGATGTTTTTGGTACAGTAAACACTTGTTAGGCTTAATGTTTGATGTTAAAATACTAAATTGTGCTTCTTTCTGGTTTTGTTTGAAGTTTAACGACATGCTGCTGTACACCACTCCTGTGCAGTATGGTCAGTTTAAGGTCAAACATAAGCTTTCTCTTACTGGAATGAAGGTGATGGATTCTCTTACCGGTATTTTTGTTATTTTTCGTAGTACTAATAGTGACTGTGGAAATGCTTGCAGGTTAAAAAACCAAACCAAGAGGCCGTCCAAAATGAGCTCATCATTGAGAGTGTGGAGCGCTCCTTTAAGTGTTCAGTCAGGTAAGACAAGTCTCTGAGGTCCACTCTGTTTGATGTATGTATTTGTTTCATTGTCTCTCTAATTAGATTCATGAGATTAGGTTTAGTTTTTAATTCAAAGTGATTTTTTGTTTGTTTTGGCAGCTCAGCCACAGAAAGAGATTTATGGCTTGATGCGATTTCTAAAGCAGTCAGTGACTTTACAAAGAAAAAGACAAGTTTTGTCCCGGCCAACACTTTGGAAGAGGTTTGAAAACTTAATACATTTCAGCTGCGAATCATAGTCGAGTAATAAGATTGAAAAATACGACAATACAGTACTGTGATAAATTATTTAACTGCAAATGCTAGTCTAAATATCAGATACAAAACACAGCTATGAGCCAGAGCACATTTTGATTTTTTTTTTTAATGGATTATTGGTTTGGACCAGGTGGAAATCGAAGATGGTGCAACTCTGGGATCAAAGGCTCCCGTCTGGATCCAAGATTCAGGAGCCACGATGTGCATGATCTGTACATGTGAGTTCAGTCTGACGTGGAGGCGACATCACTGCCGTGCATGTGGAAAGGTGAGGTGGAAAACCCCATTCCCAACAACATTTATTCTTACTCTATTCTTTGTCATATTAGGTGGTGTGTCAGTCTTGTTCAGCCAATAAATACCGCCTTAAATACCTTAAGGACCAATGGGCACGAGTGTGTAATGCGTGTTTTGTTTTACTCCAGAAACAAGAAAGTAAGAATACATAAACTGCATGAGACTTGCCGAAAATGTCAAGGTTTTATACAGTTGATGTTTTACAGATGAAAAGGCCATATCTTCTACAGTGAGCAACAAAACCCCATTTGCTTTCACCCGTAAATACAAAAAGATCCCTGCCCATCTCAAAGAGGTAACATGCTTTTTTATCTGAATCAACTTAGTGAAGAATGACAATGACTTCTTTCAGGTGTCTGCAAATACTCTCAATTCGACCATGAGTGGGTATTTAGAGATGATTAAACCAAACAAAAAGCAGGGAAAGAGAATGTGGTTTGTCATCAAAGCAATGATTCTGTACACATATGCTGCCAGCGAGGTGAATATTGATTAAAATAAATAATGTGTTAGTACAATATTTGTATACAAGCATATACTAACAATTGATAATTCTCCAGGATGTTGCAGCTGTGAAAAGTCAGCCCTTGTTAGGTTTTAGGGTGAAGTCGGACTCAAAGTTACAATTCAGGCTCCTCCACAATGACAAACTATTCCTCATTTTTAAAGCTGATGATGAGCAAACAGCAGAAAGGTGAGCTGTTAATGCATTCATTTGATTCATTCATATCTTTAAATATTCATTGAAGTGATTGTTTTTTTCAACAGGTGGATCGAGGCAATGATAAAGGCCTCTGTTCTGGATGCTTGAGTTTTAGTTCTACCTCTGTGCTTGTCATGTGCACACTCGCATGTGCACTATTTGTAAACACTTCTATGAAAGTGGCCAGTTTTTGTATTTAATATGAATTTAGTGTTTTTTTCAACTGCCCCAAGTATTTGGAAATGAAGTAATATTTTAATTATAACATTGTTCTGTAATTGCACATCTTAGCCCCAAAAAATGAAGTAGCCTGCAATTCACACTTTTATCTTGTTGTTGGTGTTAGTGTAGATATTATCACCTGTGTAGAGAAATATTTTAGTTTTAAACTGTGTGAGTTCTGTCAACAATTGTTAAAACAATTTCTTTGACAAATAGTATTGTCAAAAAGTGTGTAATACACTTGATTGCCACTTTTTATTGTACATACTACAGCCTGCATTTAACACGTTTGCACATTTCTTTCTTTTGCACAATCTTGAGTGGTTCTATCCATGCCAGATGTGACATGTAAATTTCTCCTGTGTGAGATCAATAAAGTCTATCTCATCCTATCAAGGAATTTCTACAGTATTTTTGGAAACGTGTCTGTATCATCCAACAGCGTTTAATAAACGTGAACGTAAAGTTGTGGACATGTTAATTATGAAAACACATGGAATAGAGTACAGTATAATTAGGGACAATATTATTTTTGAATGCTTTAAAAGTAGATTCACTTTTAATGCAAATATGAATAATTTGGTTATAAGCTATTACAGTTATAAGTGGCAAAATGTTGGGGGCCGAATACTTTCGCAAGGCACTGTATGATAAACACTTTCACAGATGACTAGTCGGACTGCATTTTGTGGGAGTGTGTGTTTACATCAGAGATTAGCTTCCTAGGGCCCTTTATTTTCACACATTTCTTTTTTGTTTGACAGTTGATATAAAATCATAAAACTCCAGGAAACAAGAACGATAAAAATAAATCTGGATCACTTCCCTTTCTATTCCAATCAAACATTCTGGGATGAATCAGGACGTCTTTAAAGGCCACACACAAATGACAATCTGTTATGGCTCATAGGGATTTTACTTGCGTTCTGTCTTGAGCATTTTGCTTTATTACATGTCCCTGAATCTAATTTTCAAGAACAGTCTACCATATCCCCAGACATCAGCTATTTATTAATCCTTTATTTTTTACTAGCGCATGTAAGTGGAATTTTTATTTTGATATTTCTTTTTGCAGACTTTTCCCGCTTATATATAACTTAGTAACAATTATTATTATATAATTATTATTAGAGGCCAAGTGACTTACAATTCAGAGTCCTGTAACACTAAATTCTCAAAGAGATATATGTGTTATGTGATATATATTTTATACTGTTCTATATGTAAGGATATATCTCTAAAATCACTGATCAATGGGCAATTTCCTCAAACTTTGACACATGGCGCATGCGCAGATCTTGTATTCATGCAAAAGGTCACGAACTCTGACCCTCCTGGTAACAGCATTTGTGGTTAAATGTTTCTTTTTACGGTGTAAATGAACGCTTTACAGAGCATTGCGTTCAGCGCAGAGGACAATCACTCCTACGGACAAACGTAAACCTCGGAGACATTTGGAGCCAGATCCACAGGAAGAGAGGGCGTGTTTTGAAGCCAATCTGGAGAGGGCTGAGCTAGCTAAAGGCTAGCTAACTTAGCACGTTAGCACTGCGTGGAGCTACTCAAGTGGTAATGTTTATTTACGTCCATGTAGTTATTATAAACGCAGCACAGGCGTAATGTACAGCGGCGTGTCTCTAGTACACAGTTTATGATGTAAAATGCCTTAAGCTAAAACGTACGGATGCGTGGTGGTGCTAACTCTCAAAAGCGCGTTAGCCTCGTTAGCATTTCACTGTGACAGTTTTGTGATCTGAGATAAAGTGCAAGTTAGATGGGCAGTACAGTCGAGTTAATATTTCACCGTGAACAACATGTCTGATATGTTGGATTGATAATCAGTGATGTTGCTGATCCTTGAATCAATGCTATTTCAGTCCTAGTGAGCGCAGCCGCATTTCCGCCTGCAGAACAACATCAGGGCCTTCACTTTAGCATCTAACCCTTCAATTTTGACCTTTCACCCACAGGAAAAGAAATACCTTATCCTTCCGTATCGATTTGAAACAGTTTCCTGTGACCAGTGTGTTTGGCTTTATGTCCAAGAGATTTGGACCATTCTTTGTTTCATATTTGTCTTTAGACGTACAGTACTAATAGTAGTTCACATTCAGTCTAGCCGCGTGCGTTAGCCCGGGAGGCCACACATGCAACGCTATAACTGTTTTTTATAACTCAATTCATACAAGTTATCAATAAAGCTCTAATATTAATCCTCACTATATTTGTAATCTGATCTATAGATGTGCATTTATTCGGTTTAAGGCCCATAAACCAATGCGGTTGCCTCCTATGGTTTTACATTTTTGTTGTTTGGTCAAACAAAAAAAATGTATTTATATTTAATCGAGATTTTTAAAATGTCTCATGTTCGTTTAGGTCTTTAATGGAGTATTGTTGATGTCAAGAGTGTTGGTGAACGCTGTATCACAATGGATGGACAAACTCAAAGAATTCAGCTTGTATCAGCAGATGGCAATTTGGCTTTGGGACACAGAATTCAGGTTAAGAGACATTCTGTGCACAAATGTATAATTATCACTTGGTTATGCATAACCAATAACATTTATTCTGCAATAGATTGTGACGGATCAGCAAACGGGACAAAAGATCCAGATTGTCACTGCCCTGGAAGCACCTTCTCCCGGAAAGCAGCAATATATTCTTGCAAATGCAGATTATTCATCAAGTGGAAAAGTCCTTGTGAAGCAGGAAGGGTCCCCGAACAAGGTCATCCTTGCTTCCCCAGACAGCTCTGGGGTTAACCAGCTGTTATTTGCTTCTCCTGATTTGGCAGGGCAACAAATTCAGGTATTGGTATTGCTTGCCTTAATCTGTTTTTCTGTTTCAGTTTTATGATGTCATATAGTGGTATAACTCATGACTTGAGTATAAATGTGCTGCAGCGAATGTGAGATTGGTACTGCATGATCTCATTGTTTTTGTTTGTTTTTCAGTTTGTGACTGATGGGTCGGACCAGTCTCTCATAAAGCCTGTTGTTGAGTACTGCGTTGTCTGTGGGGACAAGGCATCAGGTAGACCCTTTGCTTCTTGTCACTTCATAGTTTTTAATATATTAAAGACACCTGTGTCACATATCTTCTTTTATAGGGCGCCATTATGGAGCAGTCAGCTGTGAGGGCTGTAAGGGATTCTTCAAACGCAGCATTAGAAAGAATTTGGTGTACACATGTCGAGGCTCTGGCGAATGTGCCATCAACAAGCTTCACAGAAATCGTTGCCAATACTGTCGACTGCAGCGATGCATTGCTCTGGGCATGAAGCAGGACTGTAAGTAAACTATTTTCTGGCTACTGCTCTTCCAATGTTTAGAAGCCTCTGGACTCTCATGATTATTGTTTTAGCTGTGCAGTGTGAGAGAAAACCTGTTGAAGTCACACGTGAGAAATCGATGAACTGTGCAGCATCCACTGAGAAGATCTACATCCGAAAGAATCTGTTTAGTCCACTGGCTGCCACTCCAACTTTTGCTTCTGACAAAGAAACTAGGTACTTTATTAATAATGAACTACTCTAAAACGTTATGAAACATTACTATTAAACATACAAATGTATTTTGCACATTATAGTACAAATGGCAGACGATCTAATGGCAGGTCTGGCAGTTTGCTCGAGTCCAGCATGTTACTCAACATCCAACATCCATTTCCAAAGCTGGAAAATTCAATTTATATTCCAAAATCTCCAGATGAGGTAATCCTTCTCAATATTTAGCAAATCCTTATAGTAGTACTTTTATGATAGATTCATTTTCATTTATAATATCGCTCAGGATGATCCATCACAAGGAGACCTTGGGACTCTTGCAAATGTGGTGACATCTCTGGCTCACCTCGATAAGACACGGGAGGAAAGTGAAGGTGGCAACGACCTGATGGGGATTGAGACCCTCAGCAATGGTGACAGTTCAATCACAGATCTTCAGGGAGATGAACAAAACACAAGTGACATCACACGGTAAGGAATGATACGGAAACTGCTTTGCTTGCAAAGAAGCGGTTTAATGGAAATCATATTACATATAATTTCCTGTTTGGGCCATGTGGCTCCTGACTCAGCTACCATAATTCTATTCTTCCTGGTTCGTAGAATTGCACCATCCTGACTGGTTCTGTGGTTTTATGCAATATATAGAGATCTCAGTGTTATTAAACAATGACAGAAGGTAACTAAAAGGTACTGACCAATTGTTTGGGATAACAATAACGTGGACCCGCTTCCCAGCGCAGATGAGGGGGGTCAGTGTCGTGGGTGATGGGGAGTGGGGGATTAGGTGTGGTGGGGACTTGATATCGTGCGTCACATAACGTCTTCCTGTGACGCGCATTTTCACACACGTCTCTCCCTGCACTTTCGTATTCTCAGCTTGTGTCAAACCTTTCATATAAGCCCCGGACCGTGCTCGAGGGGCGCTGGGGGAGTGTCTCTCTGCAGGGCCAAAGAAAAGCGTTTCCTATGGGTATAGCTCTCTTCTGTCCTGACCCTCGCTCTCAGTGTGGTCCTATTGCATTAACACATCAGACATTCAAGAATCGGTCTTTATTTAAAGCTGCACTAACTGACTTTGGGATTTTGAAGCCGTGGACTCGCTGGCCTCTCTCTTTCTGCTCCCCTCCCCGCACCCACGAAGCTATCGCCCCCCCACACACACTCACTGTTGGGACGGAGCTAGTGTCTCTCAATATGGATAATACATGGATATGGATTTGCACGTGGATGGCGTGACCATAGAACGATAGAACCGGGAAGAGCGGAGGAACGAGACTTTCTTTTGGATGACTGTCTCACTGTGTAAGCAGTAACCGGTGACGAAGACGAGGAAGCTTCAGGTTAGCTCCTCGGCTTGTTGTGCTAACTCAGCCGTCTATGCTAACGGACCTGTAGATTTCTCACGAAAGTGGGGGCCAGTGGTCCGCTGTGATTGGTCACAATCTGCGACCCGAAACACATTCTCTTCCTTGTTTCATCAAAACTCAATCTAAAATATAATGTCACGCCAGCACAAATCTGCGCTACTTTTTCTTCAAAAGGACATATATCCCAATGCACTACATGGACATGGATAGCATTTTAGTAATTAATACAAAAATAAAGTCAGTTAGTGCAGCTTTAATTACCAGAACACACACACACACACACACACACACTTGTAACCTCCCTGTCTGCGGTCTAGAGCTGCAACTAACGATTATTTTGTAATCGATTAATCTATCGATTATTTTTACGATTAATCGAGTAATCGCTTGGCTGTGAATTGTGTAGAAAAATTATATTTTTTCATCACAAAAAGCTAAAGTGGCAACACTCGAGGACGTATTGATGGCGTAAACTTAAAGTAAATGTTTGTAACAGGCTCTTTGTGCTAATTCTGCTATCTGATTGGATGAGACAGACAGATATTCATGAAATTATAAAAACAAAGTCGGTTTTAATCAAAAACACTACATTTTCATGTCATTTTTGCTCTGTTTGAGTCCGTGTGAACCAGAAAACGATTAATCGATTACTAAAATAGTTGTCGACTGTTTCAATAATCGATTAGTCGTCGATTAATCGATTAGTTGTTTCAGCCCTACTGCGGTCGCTCTCCTCGTACGCCACACTTTTCATTCATTCATTTGTCAGCGCTCTTACGCTCGTTGCTCAAGCGAGTAATGTGTGGGTAACGTGAATGCACACGTGTGTGTTTGTGTGTATGTGCGCGCCGCGGACACAAGTGCACACACACACAAACACACACGTGTTTGTGTGTGTGTGCATTCACGACACCTACACGTTACCCACTGAACTGCTGCACTTTGCACCAGAGCAATTTGGACAAGTGTGAGATGTATCTTTCCCTAAACAACGCTACCTGTACTGAGCTGTTAGCCACTGTAGCTGTTAGCTACAGTAGCAGAATGTAAACAGGAAAAGAAGCGGATCTCAACCAGGGCAATGAGGTAGTCTCTGGTGTTAGTATTAGCGCCACCAGCTGGACCGAGTGTTGTACTACAGCACAATTTCCCTGGCACGGTTCAGACAACATGTTCATGTGACTGCGGGCCGTTTTCACACCCCTGTGGCGACGATCCGGGCCACTTGGCCTAGTTCGTTTGTAAAAACCTATGTGACCGTGCCCTTAAAGGCGCTATACCCGTTTCTGCAATGTTTGAATGTTTAGTACCGCCCCCCAACTCGCTCAATGGCTTCTCATTTCCCCTACGCTCTCATCCCACAGAGCCACCTAGTTTTATTTGCGATCTGATACATATGCAAACATTAGCATTAGCGCAACTTCTTGTAAGCTGTGCAACAATCACTGATGAAATGGCACTAAAGCAACGCACTGCTAACACAATATAAAAGTAAAAGAATGCCGCTAGTTTCGCGTCCGAATGTATCAATTTAAAAACATTAGAATGTATTCTAATATTTAATTATTTGTTATAGAGCTCCTCAAAGCAGCAGCACTCCATTGACTTGAATCCAATTTGTCCGATCATTTTTTCTCGATAACAGAACTCTCAAACCAATAATGACCGAAGCCCCAATGCAATCTCTGTTTGTAATTCAGGTGTGTAAAATACTGCCATTACTTTGCAAGTACAACAAGCTATCAGCGCTTGTCACTACACACTTGTCTGTGTGGAGAAGCTAGCGGAGCTAGCCACGCTCAATAAACAAATACATATCTATCAATCAACACCATTAAACGTTAATCGGACAAGACAGTATACATATACATCCTTAACACACATGCACGGACGATTTCAGAATTTGCTGTTAACGTTTTCATGACAAAAATACTGTTTTAAAGTGACAAAAAGCGATTGCGAAAAACCCGGAAGTTACCATGAAACAGCTAGCTAGCTTAGCTGTTACCTGCCTAGCACGTCCCGGGGAAATCTTTGGGAGCTAACTATTTTATTTGCAGTCATTAAATACATTTCGAATATGAGGGTTGTCTAATATTTGTTCAAATATGTATATATTTTTTATTTTACAATTATATTCAAATTTTAAAGTCGAAGCCCTGGTGTTAAGCAGCGCTGTAGAGACTAGAGGACGCAGGCTGTTCGCTGCTCGTTCTGTGAGCGGAGGAGAAAGAGCGGCCCGCTAAGACTCTACTCAGCACTTTTCACTGCTTGTAATTCTTACACAGCTGAATCAATTACCTCAAGTTTTCAATTAAATGATGTATTATGATACAACTTGTATGTAGTAAAAAGCATTTTTATGAACTACTTAGAAAAAAAATTAGGTATAGCTTCTTTAAACTCTAGTTTATTGTCTTTTATGGCGTTGTCCTTTTATGCTCTTCAATATAAAATCCTTCCTCGTGGTGAAAAGCCGACACTGGTCCAAATAACACAGCACCTTTTCCCACTGTTTTCCTGAGTCAATACCTCTTTCAACACATCTCAAAACACACAGGGAAAAAGGCTTTTAAGTGTTTGAAGTTTGATACAAGACATATTGTGACCGTCCACAGAGATTCAGAGAGATTGGTTGTTGCTTTGATCCACTCTGGAGCAGAGTCGATGTAGAAAAAGCATGTTTGTGATTGTATTGTCCTTATCTCTCAGAGCGTTTGATACCCTGGCTAAAGTCCTCCATCCAAATGAGGGATCAGCAGCCGACACTTTGGAGGCGACGATGCAGTTAATGGCAGGAGATCAGTCGGGCCCTGTCATAGAGCTGAGCGGGCCTCTTCTCTGCGACAGCCACATCCCCTTTAAAGTAAATCCTAAACCAATAATATGAACGTAATGATGAGGAATGGCTATATTTACACATATATCTATTCACTCATGTTTTGACAGCTTATGATGCCTTTACCTGTGCCAGAGTTTCTCAACGTCAACTACATTTGCGAGTCGGCGTCACGGCTCCTGTTTCTTTCTATGCATTGGGCTCGCTCCATAACGGCATTTCAAGCTCTCAGGTGAGCGGGGATCAAAGCTACATGGTTTCTATTTGATTGAGATGAAGAGATCCTTTATTCATCATCGCGTTACCGAACAGTTGGAACGAGGCGCACACAATGCTAAAATAAGGAATGAGAAAAAAAACTCTTTAGCATAATAAAGAAGCATGTATGAAATCTTTAGCTTTGGCTTAATAAGGAAGCAAATCTAAAATCTCCAACTTTAGCATAATGGAGAAGCAAGTATAATCTACTGTATATTCTAGTGCAAGAAATGTATAGTTGTATGAATAGATCTGTACCCTCTGTTAGCAGCATGAGGGTCTGGGACAAAGTGGACTAAGGTGACAGCGGACACATGTGGTTCTATATTGCATATTTTAATAATTGAGGAATATGATGTGGCATTTGTTTGGGGAGATTCATCTTGTCTTCTTAGTAGGATTAAAAGTTAGGTTATTCTAGACCAGACAATATTAGGTTGTAATTACCTTGACAAGTTTCAACGGTCTGTTGGGTAATAACATCACTAACCTAATATTGTCTGGTATCGAAGACCTAATAATGAGGCAGCATTTATTACAATGACCTATTTTCTTTTTTGCAGTGGGCATGACAATGATATTAACCTGATGAAAGCTTGTTGGAATGAGCTGTTTGCCCTCGGGTTGGCACAGTGCTCCAACGTTATGAATGTTGGGACCATCCTAAGTGCAATTATCAACCATCTGCAGACAAGCTTACAGGAAGGTATGTCTTCGGGTCAACACAATCACAAAACACTGATATTTTTCTGATAATCCAATAGTTGTCCTTAACCTTCTGTTTAACGCTGTTATTACATTTGAAACCTGCAGATAAATTGTCTCCAGAACGAGTCAAAATCGTGATGGAGCACATCTGGCGGATGCAGGAGTTTTGCAATAGCATGTCTAAGCTGGCACCTGACTCTTATGAATATGCCTACCTCAAAGCCATTGTTCTTTTTAGTCCTGGTATGTTCGAGTAATTGAACTATTCTCTAACCTCATGTTTAGATTGCATCCTTTGGATTTAACTAATATAATAATTGTGCCATTTTTGTCCAGACCATCCAGGCATTGACAACATTTCACAGATACAGTTTTTCCAAGAGCAGGCCTACACCGAACTACAGGACTATGTCACTAGGACCTACCCCGAAGACTGTTATCGGTAAATGCATCATGTTGATGAGCCTGTTAAGGGCATGTGGCTTGTGCTGTATTAAAGCTGTTATGATGGCTGATTTTGTGTACTTGCTGCTGTTTGCATCGTCTCAGTGCTTGCCTAATATCTCTGTGACTGCTTCCAGGTTGTCCAAGCTGTTGCTGCGTCTCCCTGCCCTGCGGCTCATCAGTGCATCTGTCACAGAGGAGCTGTTTTTTGCTGGACTCATTGGAAACGTACAGATCGACAGCATCATCCCGTACATCCTCAAAATGGAGTCCACAGATTATAACAGTCAAACTGCTTCTGGCCTCTGAACGGCTGATCGTCCGTACAAACACTCAAAAGGATTCTTGTGCCTGGTAAAAACTGAGTCAATGTCTTAACCTGATATTTTATTTAAATCCTTTCATGGATACAACTCCGGACGTTCTCCCCATAAACAATGTTTTACTTTTTTGGGGAAACAATTGAGACTCAAACCATAGACGTCTGAATGATAGTACATGGTATTTTATTACTCCCAGTATTCCTTTTTGGAACAACTCCCATGAACTTTGTTGCGATTTCCCCTCGTCGTCTGTCAATGTGAACTGGTTTGTGTACCTGATATTGTTAAAGGTTTAACCTTTATTTTCTATATGCTTGCCGATCCAAAGGATTACACCTGCTTCTTATTATGAATTTGAAGAAATAAAAACTTGTACATAACGATGTATATTGCAGCAAGAAGTCTACCATGGCGGTAACTCTTGTATTTTGCTTTGTGGACAATTCATGTGATAATGGTTTTAAAATAAAGCACCTAAATGCTTTCTATGGGGTTCTACTCTCCCTCCTGCGTTTTTGAATGCTGCTTAAGGCCAAATGTTGAGGAGAATTCGCCCAGTCATGTTTAGAAAATTTGTGACGTAGATACTCTGCCATGTATCTAATAATCTTTTATTGTTTTTCTATATAGATTCAATTATTGCCTTTGTTGCATTCCAAACGACATGTTTTCTCTCAGCAATGACCAAACGTGTTTTAAAACAAATGGAATAGAATTGTCTCTCGCTTTTAGAGGAACCACTCTCCTACATATAACTTGTCCACTTTTACAACCTTTCTTTCTTATCTGCATTCTCACATTTCCATTAACTGCAGATTGTTTTGGTGTCTTTTGAAAATAATAATGCAAAATCTATATCCTACCCCAGTCACTTGTTTTTTTTTTTGTCAATTGATGTAGACAGGAAAGCTCCATTGTACGTGTTATTGACCAGTAAATTATTCATCAGTTCCTCACAAGTGTGTCTGATGGCCTGAGCCTTGGAGCTTTCTATGACGGCTGGGAGAATATGCTATTTAAAAGCGCTACTGAAGTGTGCATTGAAACTTGATGAACAACGTTGCGGCTGTGTTCCAAGTAGTCATTGTCCGACGTGGTGTCCGTGCTATCTCCTGCCTATCGAATCTCCACATGGCTTCACTCGCCCTGTTTGAGCAGCAAGGTTAATGACACTGTGTCCATGGACCACTGTTTCTGCACCCCGTGATGCATCAATTTTACATGTCTTCTCAAATGAAGACAAGACAAAGACGAGTTAAAAATAAGCATATTATAACACCCATGAGGTAATTTTGGGTGAATGAACATAAATAATGAATGGAGAAAAAAGGAGTAAGAGCTTGCAGTTTTATACTTAAGGTAGTATTTTGAAGTGTAGAGATTTGACTTATTTGCTTATATTTACTACTGTTTATCTGCAACTGATTAAACTACATATATAACTCAGAATGAACCAAAGCTTTAGACAAATATTATTGAGAACCACTAGGCTATATCTAAAGAATATAGCAAATACAATACCTTTGATATTAGGTATCAAACATCATATTTTATCTTATATCTTGTATAGCGGCTTAACAATTTGACATAGGAGATCCTTTACTTGTTTTGCAGCCAACGTGGTTTGTTCTATTGTTACATCTGCTCAATGAACATATGTAATGTTGGAAATAAATGACAATTCCAAGACCTAACAAGCCAAAATAAACTTTGATGAATTGTTTATCAGTTTGTGACGCTGGCTGTCATGTGATAAGCTTAAGTACTTGAAGAATTATGCCTTGGATGTTCTTTTCCCCCATGCAGCAAAGCGTTAAAGCTGGAGCACCTAACTTTCACACCACCACACAAAATTGAAACCCAATTTTTGGCCCTGTTTTCTTCTGACTGAAAAGGGAGAAAGAGGGGACCAGTCATGCTCTGCCCAAAGCGTCAAATAGTATTATTAGTCGTAGTAGTAGCAGCAGTAATAGAAGTAGTAGTATTTTATTATTATTATTAAACTTTTACATTTGTATTACAGACTGAGGTCCAGATAAGAAATTCGTCACACACAAAAAATAAATAATAAATAGACAGACATTAGTGTAAGACATTTTACTTTTCCAAGATCTTTCCTGACGGGACAAGCAACATTATTAAAATTAGTTAACGAAAACAAATGTTTCTTTAATGCTTCAGAAAAAACAAAAGACACATTGAGGTAGGTGGTTCTGCTTTGAAAGACGTTCTCCATCAGCTACCCATCAGCGACACAAACAGGGCTTTTTATCTGCCCCTGACAGACACGTGTTGAGGTGGTTTCGGACGCCCCCCATCTCCCCACATCTCCCCTCTCTGCCCCCTCACGAGGGCTTATGGGCGGAGCTAGTTGCCAGAGGGGGCGTGGCGAGACTCTCCACTTCGAATCCTTGTTGCTCAGCGCCGCGGCATCAGACCCAGCGTGCTCGGGACTGCGCAGAAAAAAGCACGCTAACATGAGACCAGAGCCAGTCCTGCTCTGTAAACAAGGGCCAGCCTTCACCAAGACATAAATCTGGAGCCAGGTCGGGAGCATGCCCAGCGGCACAGTCCGAAGTTTATGCGAAATAGAGAAATACCTCAGCAGCAGCAGCAGCAGCAGCAGCAGGGCGGTGAGTATAGTAGTAACCCGAAGAAGTAGCAGCGCGTATGAGCGAAGACCATTGTTGTCTACTGGAGAACGATCCGAACAGCTGTTGTGGGCCATCTGTGCGTTTTGATTATTTTTTCATAATGCGTAATAATGTCCTTGTCTCAAAGTGTTCCCATATTTTTTGCCGCCCTGTAGAAAGCTCGTGTTTTAACCAAACTTTTTTGACAAGTGCCTCTTTGTGCTGTGAGAGAAATCGATCGATCACGCTTTCTTCCATGTCTCCCTGTCACATTATCTCAACCTTTGCTGATTTGGTAATGGTTTTAATGGGAAAAAACACAAGAATAATTGGCAGAATTCACAGGACAATAGAGTTAATCAAGTTTAAAGCTGGGGTAACTAACTGTCAAACTACTACAATCCATCCACCAATCCTCCTCACTCACAATATCCTATTATTCCATCAGTACTTTTCACGTGGATGTATTTGTCTTTTTGATCAAATGTTTTGGACAGGGAGGTGAAAAGACAGGACCACCCTCCCTCAGTTCTAAACCCAATAAGTCATTTAAAGTGACTCACAAGGCTCAAGTATTCAAAAGATTACATGTTTTCTAGTTGGACAAACACGTCATGTTGTGGTCATATTTGTTCACAACATTTGCCTTTTCAAGATTCTTTATGACATGCACTATCTTCATGCAAGCTTTAAAATGGGCCATTGTACTGTTTGGGTGTAGTTGTAGATGGTTAGTCAATCAGTCAGCTGTATGAGACTCCACATACTGTTCACAACTCTTATATACAGTCAATGCTGATGATAGTACTCTGTTACTTTCAAGTTAAACAAGAATAAATGTGTACATTTTTATTTAGGCCATAGAGGGCTTTGAAGTGGTTATAGCAGCTAATGCAGTTTCTGTCAGCTGATCAAACAGAAACTACCTGTAATGTTCTGGACTATTATCATCGACACTGTTTCTTCTGAACTCATCTTTAGTATTCTTATTCTTATTATTATTATTATTATTAGTAGTAGTAGTATATTAATAACACAGAGTGGATTATATTGTGGTTATTATTTTGAATCTGTTTAGTAAGTTCCATTACATCTCACGCTGACTTGTAATGAATGATGCACAATAAGGTACACATCTATTTTATTTTTCCATGTTGTCTTTCCTTCCACTTGATATTTATCTAAGATATTTGCAAGAACAAAACCCATGTTTTCAGAAATGTATATGTAACAGTTAATATTCATAACTGTATGCATTTTCCCTTTATTATATCTGGTTCATATTCTTATGGGCAGTAAAATAAATGGCATTTTCAACAGATTGGGGGATATACCTACATATTTAGGTACTGTGTTAGTAACATATTATTCAAGAATCAAAGTATATGGTTGAATACGACCTCAAGAAGAATTCGCAAACAAGTGCAAAATGTCCAATGCGTTTTGACATCCTGTGGTCCTTTTTACTGTCCGTTTATCCGTGTATGAAAAGTTCTTTATAAATATTTATGGTTGAATCCTTTCATATTGTCAAATATTGGGAGGGGAATCTTTGTTTAGAATATGTTCCCTAAATGTTATGAAAAGTTCTAATCTCATCCCGAGATAAAAATACTATGAATGCTCCTCGTCAGTCCTCAAAGACCAAAACTGCCAGATCCTAAGAGTTATGTGCAGAATGTCAAACCAAAAGTCCCTATTTCGACAGGTAACTTTCCAAACCTGTTCCGTCTAACCTGTTGCTACCACCTCCTCCTTTTTCTCTTACTCACTACAAATGAATGAGTTTGAATTAATTGCAACACCCAAACAAGTATTCCCAAACAGTCTGGTACTTCTCTATTTCATGAAGCAGCTCTTGGCTGTTTACTGCTAGTTGTTGTACTTATTTCATTCTTTTTCTTGGCAAACGAATCACATTCCACTTTCGGCCCTCAAAAATCCTTTTGTGTAGCAGACATAGTGGGTCAGAGGCCAGTGATGATGCAACCCCTTCATTTGTGAGCCTTAACTCCAGCACTGCTTTTAACGCTCCCTGAATAATGCCCCTAAAGCATCTTTTTCCAAACAGGAGGCACTTTGAACACTGGGACAATAAAACAAAAAACTCATTCAACTAAAAGGTGACTAAACCAGAGGGAAGTACGGAGGTAGCATGATGTCATCATTTTTCATTTTGTCTTTAATGTGTTACAACTGGGGTGTTCAAAAAATGATCAAAACCAGATTCAAATCCTAATCACAGTGTAAGACCATGTGATAATATTAAAGGGTGGCATTATTCTTGTGCTGGATAAATCTAAATGATGTGCCAGAATATTATTGATATTCATTATTGTGCTTTTGAGAATAATTAAGAGAACTTGTGTTCGCCAATCACAGTTCAAGAAAAGTAAGATAATTAGAAGCTCTCTGAAACGAGATGAATAAGGGCAAGGGCGAGAATTGGGACGGGGCCTAACTTTCAAGTCTTGAGCTTTAGACGAGCATAGACCGGCTGCACAGTATTGTGGGCCGTCAGTATTGACCATGGTCCGGGACCAATGTACTGAATTCCCACAATCTAAAAGTGAATCGAGAAAAACATGCTATACATAACCTAATCTTTAATATCTTTTGTTTTAGGACATGCTAAAACTGTTTCCTGCTTAAGTGCAGGAAACTGATAACTAAATAATGTCTAAATAGATAAGGGAAGTGAAAGTCCTAAATGCTTATTTGTGCAAGTTCTTACTCAAGTCTTCCTCTTTTTTTCTCTCTCCTATGACCGTCTTCTAACATTTAATCAACTAAGATTTGCCTCTTATTTACAAAGTGGTTGCTTAAAAAGTTGTCCGTGTTCTGGAAAACTCTATCACTGGAGTCTTTTATCACTGGACTCAATATTGAGAAGCTCTTTCTATCCCTCCATCTTGTTTTCTTGTTTATGTTTACCATGGATAATTAGCTTGTGCAATGTTGCGTCATTGCAGCTATTCACACTTTCTCACTTTGAATCACTCTCCGCTGCATATTTATCTTAATTGAATCCCCTTTTGCTGCACCAAGAGTCCACTGGGGCCAAGCAGATGCAGCCAGTGTTAATGGGCTATTGATTTAGTCCTGCTTTCTGTCAGTCCATAAGATAATAGCACAGAAAACATCTTAAGTCGTACATTGGACTGTCTTTTATGGCAAGTCATGGAGTGTTTAGTGTTTGCTGATCATTGTAATTGTATTAAACATATGCTGTCAGTTCACCGAAATCTCATCGAAGGTGGTTAACCAGGACTAACCTGGACGACTACTTCTACAGCAGGACTACCTGGTTCTAATCCAGATGTAAACCTGGCGATATAAATGCAGAGAGAAAATACAAGTTTACAATACTTTACAAGGACGTTGTGGGCTAGAACTAGATTTCCCAGATATTGAAGAGATTGAAGAGCATAATTAACCAATTTGAGAAAAGCACAGTCTGTTTGTGTCCTAATAAACATGGTTGCTTATGAGGACAGCATTACTCAGAGGGCAGGGAGTGCCCACTGAACCCAAATCCCTGAGATAAAAGAGAATGATCAAGAGGAGCCGTCTTCTGCACACAAAATACATGTGCTGCAAATTAGCGACTCTAATGGGAACGAAAAGGGAAAAAATCTGAACAGAAAGAGGGAGGGGATAACTCACTAGGCAATGCATAATAAAGCAAGACTAGATTTCAGGCCTAAACAACAAATTATACTTATTATCTTCCAAATGATCGCTCCAACCAGATTTAAACAGATCTCTCAAATGACTCTAAAACTAAACATGATTCACGAATGATCAAAAGCAGCCTATTAGTGGCCTGTTCTGGGAGCCTCACGTGGAGCTGCAGTCTTGGCAGGGCAGTGGGTAGATGCTCTCCCCGGTCGTCCCTTTGGCCGTGGTCTTCCTGTGGCTCACTGAGGGGACAGTGTCTGTATCCGTCCTGAGATGCTCTGGGAGGAATACCAATCAGGAGCTCTGCAGGCCTCCTCTGCCTCCTCTGAGCCCATGAACGGGACGGTTTGTTCACTGTTGTCGACCGTGCCAGCGCTCTTACCCCATGAATGTTTTTTTGAGAGGCCACAGACAATGTATGTATAAAAGAACAGGCCGGACTCTCCAAGAAGGCTTACCACATTGACATTTCAGTGTGTCCAGATATACAGTTTGTTTTAGTGGTTTGTCTGTGTCCATTGGCTTCGTATCTCTGCCTCTCTTCATGGAATTCACCGTTCGGTTTTTTCAATCTGGAAAGACCCGAGACAAAGATCAGACATTGATTGGATACTAATAAATGTATTGTCTTTAAGCATGAATGTTCGTTAAGCTCGTGGCGATGAGCTTGCGAAAACCCCCCGGGGCCTAGACCTGGTGGCGAAGAAGGCTGAGCCGAAGACATGACATGATACTCTACTGCAGCCATTCCCAAACTCAGTAACACCGAGGCCCCCTTAAAAATCTGACGGGTCTGCGTGGCCCCCCCAAAATAATAACCAAGAAGACAACATTAAGAATAGGCTCTTCTGGTTATTTTATTTTGGGGAAATAGCCTCTGCTACAAACATTGTAATACAAAAATGATTACAGTGGATTATTCAAGTCAAATAATGAACACAAATATTTTAATATTACAAACAAAACATTATAAATTTAACATTAAATAATTATATATATATATATATATATTTTTTATGACCTCCCGCGGCCCCCCTGCAGTACCCTCGCGGCCCACCAGGGGGCCGCGGACCCCACTTTGGGAGACACTGCTCTACTGAATAGGCGGTGATGGGGAGGAGGTGGGTTGCAGTCCGAACGTACGCTTAAGCTTCATGTGCAAGGATTTGAGGAAGAAGTATTAACAAAAAAGCTACTGTTTCACGCAGGGTCATTTTACTTCTTTGTGTTTCAGTATTAGCCTTCCAAATAGTCCCTGTGTGTTTGTTGTGTGTAAAACATGGTCAGTTGGCCCAATATGATTCACCTACTTTATGATTTTCTGACCGTGCTGCTGGTGGCAACATATGGTCAATTGCAGGCTTTGTTCTTTTTCTCTTATTCTTTGGTGTGAAAAAACAATTGGGGCGGACACACTTTTCCTGTTATGTCTGTCTGACTTAGCATTTGCATCAGAACAGTAAGATCCTTTTTTGGCTAATACTGTTTGTTTGTTTGTCCCACACCCTGAGCTTATGTGGTTTCTTCTCACACAAGTTGAAAAAGTGCATAGATGAGTTTCTTATGCAAAAGACGGCCTTAAGCAGCGCAAGGAATGAGAAATTGAATTGCTAACTAGATCATTGATCCGACCTCTGACTGCAGAGCAAGATAAGCAGTTTCTCCCCTCTCCCCACTTAGACTGCAACTGCATTTAATCTCTTTTCTGTTTGAATACTTGAGTAACTTGTCATAAATGAATGTCTTCTAACCGACGTTAAGTGGGTCAATCTCCCTGGATAGACGCGGTATGATATGTAGGACAGGGCGGGGGGACGCGGGGCTCACTCAGACCCTAAAAATCCTCATCTCTGGAGCTTGTCTGCTGCTGTACGTCTAGTTTGTTTTCTTCATGATTTTGATCAATGATTCTGGTCTCTTGTTCTATCACTCCTGCATGAAAACTTCCCTCACATTTTGTCAGTTTAGCTGAATTGATTTTTGAAATGGGCTCAGAATATGGGGTTGGTTTGTGTTTCAATTGAAAGAACAAGGAAAGATTTGTGGGGCGACAGTAGCTCAGTTGGTAGAGCACTGGCCTTTGGGCCTGAAGGTCGTGGGTTCGAGCCCACCATAAGACCTACTTCACGACTCCCACTGATGACTGCTGTCGTTGTGTCCTTGGGCAAGACACTTAACCCCACTTTGCCTGAAGCCCCTGCTGAAAGATCTCAGCTCCTGTGGACTCACCACCTGCAGGAGGATCAGTGAGGGGCTGGTGCTCTGTGACTGGGTGCAGCTCTGACTGCCACCCCCCCAACCCAGAAATGGATTAAGGGGAAGAAAATGGATGGATGGAAAGATTTGCGTTTTTAACAACAGCACATTAAGCCACACGTATCCACCATCTTTTTGGCCATATTCAAGCTCTAACTTCAATAAGATGAGAAGACCTTTTATTTATCCCACAGTCCAGAAATGTCTGTGTTGCAGCGCACATACAGGAGAGTAAGTAAGAGCAAACCATTACCACACAATATATGAGCAATTAATTATGATGATGGACAAAAAAGTCAGAGTAAACGCTTTATATTCTGACATTTTTATTTCTGTCCAACATGTCTTCAATGTGTGTTTTAAAAGTCACATTTTGTGTGTTACAATTTTTAAAACGTGTAAATTTCCCACTTATGTCAGAAAAATTTCATAGAATTCTAACCTATAGTATATAGTACAACAATTTTTCTAGATTTTTCCCAAATCGTAATTTTTTCTTGGTTGCAAAAATAACGGCAGTCTTTGCGTTGTTATTTGGTTCGTCATCATCTAGCGCTATTTTGGTCTTGTTTTCTAATCGGCTTCAAACACATCATGAATAATACACTGGTCACGTACAGTTTTTATTGAATCCGTGATCCGCACCTCCCCGTCAGTTGGCACTACCCTGTCATAACCTGGGTCACTGCTCTCCCTGAAGCATACGCCACGTTCCAGCTCTGTTTTCTGTTTTGCCTGTATCTTTTCCAGCTTCTCTCGTCCCTAAAGACCTTGTGCCTGTCTCCACCTCCACTGCGACCGCGGAGAGCCCCCTGTGAGCGTGTGGAGGAGTGGAGAGGGAAAAGTAGGGCAGCCCTTCAGATTTGATTCATTTAGTGAACTCGCTCGAGCAAAACAAACTCATTTTCTCCAGCAGTTTTTAAAGTGGCTGAAATGTTGATGCCAGAGGAGGAGGAAAACTCGTTCACAATTAGTTTCCTACTTTTTGTTTTACAACATCTGGTTTGGGTTAGAGACTCCCATGAATCAGATCTCTCAGCGATGACTTACTCCCCATTTTATCAGCTACGTAAAACATTTTGGCCTGACACCAATTACTACAGCTGCATGACTAACGCAAATCTTGAAAATACAATCTTTGTGATTATTCCATTCAGCACAAACCATTGTCAAAGATCCTTTTTCCTGAACGCCCCAACTCGGCCCAGGCTACAGCATCGAGTTTGTTCAATGAATCAAGCTTTTTGAAAATATAAGAAATGTCAAAATGCTGAAATAGAGGCCAGGATATTGTTTATTTTATTTATTTATTGGACAGGGACAATGTAGTCAAACATAGTTACGGCAGGAAAGATGCAACAGATGCGACACATACAGACTGTGTAGCTAATGCTAATTTTCAACTCTTCTCCTCTCCCTGGTTGAGCTTTTCCTTACAGTGCAACACATTATACAGGATGAATAGAATAAACAGCCCTAAAACACATATTTACAACTGTGATCTAACATTAAGACATTCCCACCACCAATGTAAAGATACATTCTGCCTTCTCACAACAACTATTGCATTTGAGATGGTCTGTTTTATGATCATTAGGGATGGAAATTATCACTGCATTTGAAATCAAATATTGAATTTCGTAAGGGGAGATATAACTTTTTGCCAGCCCTACCTCTAACATTCTCAGAAACCCTAGTCTTGTCATAATTTGCTCTACCTTTCTCATACTGAACCAGCTTTTAACTACACAAGAGCATATTAAACATTTTACTGGTCAGACTCAGGATCACTCAACGCGCTTCACAGTTTGATGTGTTTTCCATTCTGTTCACTTCACTCACAGCGATGACAGAAGTGCCCCTTCTCCTGGCCCCTAATGCTCCAGCAGAGTACGAGCGACGGCCCATGCTCAGCGCCTTCAGGGAATCTCTCTTCGTTCCACCACAGCAGAAACTGCCCCAGGCCCTGGACGTTGTGTTGAACAAAAGCACTTGTGTCGTTTTTTAATAAAGCGTTATAAACCGGTAACCTGACCAAACACCACTTCTCATAAAACAGATGCATGTTACGTGCGTGTGACAAACAGGTTTGACAAAGACTGGATTATGTTTGAACCCAGTTGTTTGGAAAGATATTGTTTGCTCTCTGGAAGAATAGGATTGTGATTGGTGGCTTGGCTCAGCAGCTTACGCGTCAGCCCAGTGAATGCATATGTTGTATTGTTTCATCAGTACTCAGCAGGGACAGAGCAGAGGTAGGATATGACCACAAAGTGTGCCTTTTTCTCTGCACAGAAAGACTCCAGTGTTGAGATGGACAGCCTGCGTCGGTGAGGGATGGGGTGGGCAGGCCACAGAGCCTCAAAGATGTTGGAGCACTTCTAGGAAGAATCACCAATTGTCTTCCCACTTTACACTTTACGTCGGACATTCTGAATTATACAAGAAACATTATCATAGAGATGAATGGGAGCCATGCAGGGGAAATGGTCACAGAAAGAGAGCATATTCAGGGTGATATTTGATAGCAGCATATGCCAGATCTGTTGGTTTCATTTTTGTTTCCAGCATCTGCCACAGAAACACGTTTGACTGGTTGGGTGTGACATCATAGTCCTGACAGCAAGTACTAGGAAGTCGCTTGTGTAATTGTATTACTCAAATCCAACTGAACCTGTTGTGTGCTGAATATGAGTTTCTGATGTGGCTCTTCTGTGATGTCGTAAGACAATGTCCCAGTGTATGGTATACGTTTAACCCCGTATAGGTTAACACCCGCTTTTATGTTTCTTTCATTCAACTGTAGAAGTTCATGTGTGAGTCCATTGTATTGTAACAGGCTTTGGTGATAAGCTGGATTGCAGCTCGCTCCTATTTGCTCAAAACTTTCAGTGTTACGCTTGCTTAGGATTAGAGATTTAGTTTGTCCAGCCCCCTGTATTTGTAGTACATGTTGTAACAGTACATGTATTATCTGTTATGTTTTTCTTAACTCTATATGATTAGTAAGATGTGATAAAACGCAGAGAAGCCGTTGAATTAACCATGTATCAGACTGATCATTTTAAATTATGTTGATTTTTGCATTTATCAAATTTGCTAAATAAATTGTTCAGCATGCTTCTTCAGTCTGTTCTGCCTAGTTTCCGCTTTGTGCATTAATAGATTCTTTTGTCTATTCACTTCGCTTTCACTTCCCTTATTTGCATCCCAGATGAGGGCTAAACTTTCCATGAGACAGAAAGACGGTGATGTTGAGCCGTTAAGAAGAAAATGACAATTTCCAGTAAAAGCAGACATTGTCTGGCTGGAGGATTTCCTGGGCTTGTGTTATTATTAATGACCTACATGACATGGCTGTGCCCCACTTCCTTCATTCAGTTTAATAGCAATAATCTGAATGTTGTCATCTGTGCTCAATACTGTAAACAAATGGGATTACAATTGAAGCAAATGTGCCTTAAGAGCATTACAGGGACATGCAGATGGTCATTGGGTGACGAGGCAAAACATTTTACATTAGAATTCCCCAGGATGAAATGTTGACGGCCATAATATATTAGTAATTACTAGCAGATTATTATTGCTTAGAGTGAGTCAAAACCATAACTCTGATTATGCATTATCTCATTATTACAGCTTGTTGCCTTTCTCACATTAGAGTATGTATTGATTCATATTTGTCTGTCCCCATCTCTGCCCACAGATGGACCGGAGTGCTGAGGCCAGTCTTCTGGGCATCTCGTCAATGCGCCGGGGCTCCTCTGACAACAACCTGGACTTAGACTTCGACGGCGGCAGCAACTCGTCGTTGGCCGGTGAGGTCCAGCGCAGCCGCTCCTGTTTGGACAACCTGCAACAGAAGATCCTCAAAGTCACAGAGCAGCTGAAGATCGAGCAGACGGCGCGGGACGAGAACGTGGCCGAATATCTGAAGCTTGTCAACAGTGCGGACAAGCAGCAAATGGGCCGAATCAAACAGGTTTTTGAGAAGAAGAACCAGAAATCGTCTCAACACATCGCGCAGATGCAGAAGAAGCTCGAACAGTATCACAAAAAGATGAAAGACGGGGAAGTCCAGCTGACCTCGCCTCCGCATCCGCCCCTGTTCAAGCACAGCACCATCCCCAGGGAGTCGTCCAGAGAGCTTTTGAAGGACATCACGGGCAGCGGGAGACACCCAACCATGGACAAGATCAAGACCATAGGTCCCGGCGTCTCTCTTTCCCCGCCGTTCTTCTTCAGCAAGCCCAGGGATATCGCCAATCTCATCCGGAATAAATTTGGCAGCGCCGACAACATCAACCACCTCAAGTCCCCCGCAGAGTCCACCCCTCCCCTCCCCACCGACGGCGCCTCCAAGGGCCTCAGCAGCAGCATGTCCATGGTCGGAAAACCCAAATATCCCAGCGACGACGAGTGCTCCTCGGAAAGCGCCTCCATCTCGGACAGTAACGGGATCTCCAGGGGCTGGCCGGGGCGCGGACAGGTCCCAGGGCAGGAGCAGCCGAGCGGGGCAGAGAGCCACGCCAGACTGGCGCTGTGTCTGGAGGAGACCAGGGAGATCAAGGAGTCCCAGGGTCAGCTGGAGGAGGACCTGGACGAGCTGAAGGCACAGTTCAAGAGGGAGTATGATTCGCTCCATGAACTGCTGGTGGAGGAGAAGTACAGGTATGAGGCAGTTTTATTATACGCCACGGAACCAAAGATCAGCCTTTATCAGCGTTTATCTTGATAGAGCTTACTCAACCGGCTGAATAGATAAATCCTGGAGTTTAGGGGTTTGATAAAGAGTTTTTTATATCCCTTATACATATCACTTTGCAATTTTTGGATTTGAATATCCAACTCCAACTGAAAGATCAAGGCTATGCTCACACTCAGAGAGCAGCCGTCCTCCTGTGGACTCACCACCTGCAGAGGGTCAGTGAGGGGCTGGTGCTATGAGACTTGGGTGGCATCTCTGACTGCCACCCCCCTGACCCAGAAATGGATTAAAGGGTAGAAAATGGATGGAAAAAATGGATGGATTTGAATATTTTATTTTGAGCCATACAAAATCATGACATTATCTGTACCTTCTTTCATGGGCAACAAAAGAATGAAGAATAAAAACACTAAAAAGATTATTATTATTATTATTATTATATAAAAAAGAAGAGTTTGGCTCAAAAACAAATGGGAAGAAGAAAACGTATGTGCTCCCACCCCGTTCCTACATTTCTGTACTTGGCTTAGTTCCTGGTGTCTTTCTTACATTCATATACACCTACAGTACATATAGATACATCTATACATACACATACATATACATAGACTCTAACTAACATATATACACAGCAATCCTTTTTAAACAATTGCAAAGACAAGAATATAACGTCCCTGTTTCGTCATTTGTTTCATTCAGTTTTTCCCATTGAAATGAAGTGTTTTATTCTTTCGTCCTCCTCCAGGTATGAGCATCTGGAAGACCAGCTGAATGACTTGACCGAGCTTCATCAGAATGAGATGACCAACCTGAAGCAGGAGCTCACCAGCATCGAGGAGAGAGTGGCCTACCAGGCTCAGGAGCGCGCACGTGACCTACAGGTGCCCGTTCTATATATTATTATTTGGCCCCCTTGCGCTAATACTTTGTAGCGCCACCTTTTGCTGCAATTACAGCTGCAAGTCGCTTGGGGTATGTCTCTATCAGTTTTGCACATCAAGAGACTGGAATTCTTGCCCATTCTTCCTTGCAAAACAGCTCGAGCTCAGTGAGGTTGGATGGAGAGCGTTTGTGAACAGCAGTCTTCAGCTCTTTCCACAGATTCTCGATTGGATTCAGGTCTGGACTTTGACTTGGCCATTCTAACACCTGGATACGTCTATTTGTGAACCATTCCATTGTAGATTTGGCTTTATGTTTTGGATCATTGTCCTGTTGGAAGATAAATCTCCGTCCCAGTCTCAGGTCTTTTGCAGACTCCAACAGGTTTTCTTCCAGAATGGTCCTGTATTTGGCTCCATCCATCTTCCCATCAATTTTAGCCATGTTCCCTGTCCCTGCTGAAGAAAAGCAGGCCCAAACCATGATGCTGCCACCACCATGTTTGACAGTGGGGATGGTGTGTTCAGGGTGATGAGCTGTGTTACTTTTACGCCAAACATATCGTTTTGCATTGTGGCCAAAAAGTTCGATTTTGGTTTCATCTGACCAGAGCACCTTCTTCCACATGTTTGGTGTGTCTCCCAGGTGGCTTGTGACAAACATTAAACAAGACTTTTTATGGATATCTTTGAGAAATGGCTTTCTTCTTGCCACTCTTCCACAAAGGCCAGATTTGTGCAGTGCACGACTGATTGTTGTCCTATGGACAGACTCTCCCACCTCAGCTGTAGTTATCTGCAGTTCATCCAGAGTGATCATGGGCCTCTTGGCTGCATCTCTGATCAGTCTTCTCCTTGTTTGAGATGAAAGTTTGGAGGAACGGCCGGGTCTTGGTAGGTTTGCAGTGGTCTGATACTCCTTCCATTTCAATATAATTGCTTGCACAGTGCTCCTTGAGATGTTTAAAGCTTGGGAAATATTTTTGTATCCAAATCCGGCTTTAAACTTCTCCACAACAGTATCTCGGACCTGCCTGGTGTGTTCCTTTGTCTTCATGGTTCTCTCTGCGCTTTAAACAGAACCCTGAGACTATCAAAGAGCAGGTGCATTTATACAGAGACTTGATTACACACAGGTGCATTGTGAAATGTTTAAAGGTTCAATGGGGGCCGAATACTTTCGCAAGGCACTGTAAATTATAAACATAAAAATCTACAAAAACATAAACAAAACAATTTAGAAATACGGTAAAAAAAAAATTAAGATCACAGGACATATTGAAAACATAGAAAATAAAATCAGTAAGTAATTAAAAACCATAGACCACAGCGTAAGTAATCTGTTTTTTAACCTGGATTTGAAAATTGCCAGAGAAGATTCCGGTCTCACATTCTCAGGCAGATGCTTTATCTGAAATGCTGCCTCCCCATGTCTGGTCCTGACTCTGGGCACCAGCGCGAGGCCACTTCTCATATTGTATGTTATGAGTCATTTTTTGTTGCATGTTCTCCAAGTTCTGCTCAAATATCAGACTCTCAAATGCCATTTGGTTCCATCTGGTTTATTCCCGATCAGTTGTGAGCAATTTGTGTAATTACGTGTAGAAATGTCAGCCGTGCCTCGTGGCCAATTCTCCATAACTCCTCTCTCCTATTTAACTCCTATCTCCATCTCTCCTCCATAACTCCTCTCCATCTCTACTTTTTATCTCCTCTCTAACTCCTCTCTCCATCTTTTCATCTCTCCTCCATAACTCCTCTCTCCATCTCTCCTCTTTACTGCTCTCCCCATCTCTCCTCTTTAACCCCTCCATAACTCCTCTTTAACTCCTCCTCTCCTCTTCAACTCCTCCATAACTCCTCTCTCCGTCTCCTTCCCGCAGGAGGCCCTGGAGTCGTGCCAGACCCGCGTGTCCAAGCTGGAGTTGCAGCAGCAGCATCAACAGTCCGTGCAGCTGGAGACTCACGACGCTCGAGTCCTGCTGGGCAAGACCATCAACATCATGCTCGCCATCATCACCGTCATCCTGGTCTGCGTCTCCACCGCCGCCAAGTTTGCCGCCCCCTTAATGCGGAGCCGGCAGCACGTGGTCGCCACTATCTTAGGGGTCTGCTTTTTGACCTTTTTCTGGAAAAACTGGGAGCGTTTACAACACGTGATCGACAGGATGCTGCTTCCGGCCTGACGATAGGAGCACAAACCACACAGAGCTGACTCGGCGGAGTGTCTGCAGGAGGCGTGTCTGCAGGAGGCGTGTCTGCAGGAGGCGTGTCTGCAGGAGGCGTGTCCACGAGGATTGGTTCTACAATCATCTCCGACACAATCACCGAGCATTTTAGTCTCATGAAGCCTGTGTTTATGAGTCCACTCTAGAACTTGAATCGATAAAACGTAATGTCTTAATTTTTTTTTTTTTTCATAAATACAATAACAGTATACCTTGGAGTATTTGATTGGTTCTAATCAAATTTCAACACAAGGATAAAAAGGGTTAATATTATGAGTTGGATATGAATATGAGCAGTTGGCATATTCTTTCATCCATCTTTTCAGCGCATTCTCAAACAAACCTCCAGAACTACATTACCATCGACGCACAACGCAATAACACGGACTATTTTTTCCTTCTCATTTTCCCACAGTGCTGCGTTTGCACCACAGAAAAATAAATGATTAATGTGCAATATAAATTAGATTCTCGGAAAGCACCGTTTTTTTTTTTTTTTTCTCTTTTTTTCAGAAGCTCGCGTCAAGAGCCTGCAATGGAGCGGAGTGACGGGGCGTTGCTTCAGGGGGTGCGGGGCGTCAGGGATGTTGTCATTAACGTTGAAATGATGGATCCGTAACCGCAGAAGCCGCTGCTGGGCGATGATAAGACCAGCTGTCTCCGCTCTCAAGGGCCAAAAATCAATCCAACCGCACTGCTAGCATGTCCACATCACTGAGACACTCCACTGGCTCTTTCTCAAGCCCTGCCATTAGAAAACTCTACGGGCCGCACAATATACAAGCATGGAGTTGTGAAAAAAGGCTGGTGTTGCGTGGTACTTATCATAACAGACAAAAATTCAATAGTTTTATAACCTCACAATCAAACAGAAGTCGTTGTTTAACTGTTTATAATGCAGCGTTTTTTGTATGTCATAAAAAACATGTTTAAGCCATCTAAACCGATATAGGGGTGTGCCAAAAAAGAAATAGATTTTTAGATAGATATATTTAAAGTACATACAACATCAAATTGTTTTATTTAGGAATCGATTTGAAAATGAAGATTATTTCCATAATTCATGGTAGAAAGGAAAATGTTATGTATAAATGATTTTACTATAATAATTAATTAAAATTTTACCTTGATCATTAATCTTCAATACATTAAATCAATAGTGTTGGATCGTAAATTGTGACAGAACTTTTAGATGAAGGGCAAAAACTTTTTATTCTTTTACCAAACCGCATAGTATCGTTTTAGAGAAATATCGTATGGTACCGGACACCCAGCCCGAATGCGTTTGTATATTGTGTAGCCCCAAAAACACTGTATTTGTTTTGTCCTTTATAAAAATATATTAATAATGTGATTCTTGCATTGATACTGTGATACAAGGCCTTGAGGAAAATGCAATTCCAACTCGCCTTCTAACTCCAATGATGAAAGAGGAGCTGCTTGTTCCCAGCTCTGACTACGGAGAAGATACAACGGACTGACCAATTTCATGGACATCGTCTGAGAAAATGTTACATGAAGAAACTATAGACACTTTAAATACTCGTTCGCCATAACATGGGTTTATTTTAATTATCTATGTGTCATTTGTCTACTGATCTTAATCCTCTTTTTGTTTGTGTACATGTTTTCAAAGGGTTGACGGTGGAAAACTACCAACTGGTTTACATTCTTTTATCGTGACCAATCACCCATATTCCAGTGTTTTATGTGCCTTTCTTAAATTAAACATTTTTAATCAAACTACGACAGAGGCTGGTTCTTGGTGACTACTGTAGTCTACAAAAATGACTTGATTGTAGATTCTGTAGCCTGCAAAGATGAGTTGTATGTTTATGGTAGATTCTGAATGTGAAAAGGTGGAGGAATTGAGAACAAATAATGAAATAATAAATGTTTACAATGTACCAAAGAGCAGCCACCAAATGTGCAAGTCCTCCCCCTTAAAAAGATATGACTCTAAATAGCATCATAGTTATGCCTCAATTATGACAAAATTAGATCAAATTGGGGAGACAGTGGCTCAGTTGGTAGAGCGTTGGCCTTGGAGCCTGAAGGTTGAAAGTTCGAACCCACCACGAAACCTCCTTTGCTGACTCACTAATGTCTAAGTAAGAAAGTAAGTACAATTTACAATTTTTGTGGACACGGGAAGAAAAATGCAAACTCCACTCAGAAAGGTGCAGTTATGACCGAGATCCGACCCTGAACGAACCCAGGACCTTGCTGAGAAGCGAGAGTACTATCTTCTCAGCCACAGTGCCGCTCGTCTACCAATGTTGTGTCATTGGGCAAGACACTTAACCCCATTTTGCAAAAAGCCCCCGCTGAAAGATTAAGGCCTTTGTCGTGACTAACAGAGCATCCTCCTGTGAGTAGTGTACCACCTGCAGGAGGATCAGTGAGGGGACGGTGGTATGTGAAATGGGTGCAGCTCATCCCCCCAACCCAGGAATGGATAAAGGGGAAGAAAATGACGGAATGAGAAAAAGAATCCAGAAAATCACATCGGATTTTTAAAGAATTTATTTGCCAATTAGGGTGAAAATGTCCATCTCCATACTTTGTTATATATGGCCTTTTATGCAAGTGAAGGGATGCAAAGGCAAACACAATTCAAAAGAAAACTCCCTTAAGCTCCTGCTACATAAACAGCCTCCGGACTCTCTGAAATATGAATACGCTGACCTTTTTATCAGTCCCGTAAAAAAGAAAAAAAGTGGAGTTTCAAATAAATGCTTTTCTAATGCTACCACTAGAGGGAGAAGCTGCATCACTTATGAATGAAAACGCAGGGTCCTCAAAATAATACATCTGAAATATCTTTAACCAGATTTTTAGGCTGGACAACAACTGATATATTTGATATATTCTACAAATAATACAGATGGAGATTAAGTAAAAAATCTAGTTCTTGTCTCTGTTTTTGCCATTGTGAGATCAATAAAGTTATATCTTATCTCTCTACAGTTAAAGTTTTACCACACAACAGTTACAGGTATTCTAAAATCAATCACTTGCTATTATGATGTTAGTGGCTACGTTTCTTGTCATATCAATTGAAATATTAACTATACATTAGTGGGGGCAAGCTCTTAATTGGAAATGAACAATTTGAATGCATTTAATGTTTACTTTTTTTCTCTTCAATTTGTATTCTGAATCTGGCAGCATGCTCAGTTACTCGTATCCACTCTCACACAGCGTCTGCGTGGTTTAAAGCCGTCAGACTGAAATGTGGGTCACCTGGCATAGCGGTGCGTGACGAGAGCCTGCCTCTGAGCGCGGCAGAGGTGGGCATGACGGGCAGAGCTTCACTTCGGATCTCTGCCACTCAAGTCCTACTTTGAGACCGGCGCAAATTGAAAATAAAAGGCTGGAAAGGATAGACGACAATGTTGTGAGGGGGTGTGGGCATATGCTGGAGTGTTTGTGTGGGAGGGATGGTGGCGTTTATACATTTGCGGAGTGACTAAAGTCGCAGAGAGGGAGAAGAAATGCTCAAATTGGTGCAATTCTCCCACCCACACATCTCCACACACAGCGGCTTAAATTTGGGATTATAAGATATTTTTAAAAGGTGTCAATAGCAGGCCCTGTGTGTATTCCTGTCTCTGGCACCTTCTGCTGATGATGTGACTTAAAATGTGCGTATTTCCTTTGATCCACTGTGGATTCCATACAACTCTCCCATGAGGCTGTTGGAGCTGCTTGGTCCATTCACGGGCTCCTTAATGAGCTGCTAATTATCCCCGGACCGCATCCTCCCCTTAGGCCGGCCTCCTCACAGGTTGGCATGGTGACCACTGATGGGACCCACAGGATCAGGACACCAGGCGCCGCAAAGCTCAGGGCACAGTTGGTTACATCATCATACATACATTCATACAGCTGCTCATGATGAGTTCTATGTTATGGCTTCTGTGTTAAGACCGACTACTGAATACTATGTATGGGAACATTATAACCTTTCTATAAACTTTTGAGAATTTGAGCTCGAGCTGCACTGGTCCATCCCATTTCCTGTTTGTGCTGTCATGGAAACACACCATATTCCATTTCCCACAATTCTTCAGCACCAGGGGGATATTGAAATGCAGGCGTTTCCAGATCTAGTAAGGTGCCACAGCTCAAACATCAACTGCACAAATGGTTGAGATGGAAGAGTCTGTGCCCAGAATTAGAAGTTTTTGTGACGTAGCCTGAGGTCCAATAAAATATAGAGTTATGGCCTCGTTTATCATCAGCCTTGGAGTAAAATGTGTCTTAAAATGCTCTAATTCAAAGGCACCTCCAATTTCTTTTAGTTGCTAAGCAACGGCAGAGCAGCAGCGCAATGCTGAGTTCAGGCCTCCGCTGTTTGTCTGCGGTGCAGCAGCTGACTGTGACAATGACAAGAGTCAGAGCAGAGTAATTACACCCTCAATGATGTCCGCTGGAGTAACGTGTCACATCTCATTCACTTAACACAATCACTATTACACTATTACGGAGTCTGGCTTTGAGTATGAATCTGTTTATATATATACACCTCAACTTAACTGATAAAAAGCCTCAAGTAAACTCACTGTCAATAGGTTAAGATCACATCACGTAGAATTCTATGTCAGTTGGAGAACAGGCGCCAATTCATCTCTAAGGGAAAGAAGCAGATTTTGAAATCAATGTTGAAAAAAGAAAGGTCCACATTCTGAATGTCCTTTGTATCGGCCACCATCATGCATCTGTTTTTAAAATACTAAACACCCATCCATTTTCTTCCCCTTAATCCATTTCTGGGTCAGGGGGGGTGGCAGTCAGAGCTGCACCCAGTACACAGAGCTCATCCTCCACTGATCCTCCTGCAAGTGGTGAGTCCACAAGAGCCTTGATCTTCCAGCGGGGGCTTTGGGCAAAGTGGGGTTAAGTGTCTTACCCAAGGACACAATGATAGCAGTCATCAGTGGGAGTCGTGAAAT